ATACAGAGATCCCAAGATTGCTGTATTATTTTTTTTGTTAAGCCCAGCAAATGTACTGCAATTAAAGTTTCCAAGGTTCTTTGTGGAGACATTTCCTCCAAACCAGGCTGTTTACATTTTGGATATGCCTTCTATATGCAATAACAATAACAACAACAACAACAACAACAACAACAACAACAATAATAATAATTTATTATTTATACCCCGCCCATCTGGCTGGGTTTCCCCAGCCACTCTCTCTGGGTTTCCCCACCAACAGGGCTGCCTTCAGATGTCAGTAGAAACACTCATATCATTTGGACCACTAGAAACAAAAGGGCTAGGTTGTGCTCAAGTGAGAGGAGTAAATGTCAGAAAGGATGTGGTGATGAGAGACCACCCACCAAAACATCACTACACATGTGACAAACTAAAGCACAAAAATGTGCTAACAAGCTTCCGCAGCAGCAGCAGTGGCTGCTGATGTGAAACAGGTTGTTTTTACTTATCAGCAGTAAGGGACAATCAGGATTAAATGTGTAAAAAGGAAAAGTACAGACTAGTATTTTATAATGATGTTGTGTGCATGCTGTGTAAATTTGGGTGCATGAGTAGCACCGATTCCACAATAAATTCCCATCTGGAAACATCCAAGCATTCTAGTTAACAGGAGTCCTGCAATTTCAGATAGTTCTTAAGCTTGTTAAATCTGCCACAAAAACTCACCAGTGCAGACAATGTTCACTTGCATATGTTAATTTCCTAAAATGTGTGCCAGATTAAAACAGTCCAGCATTAAATGGAATTTTAAAATGAACTATCTTGGAATCCAAGAAGCCCTTTTAGACTAGCCAGTCAGAAGACAACCTCAATGTAGACCTGAGTGTGTTGTGTAATTTCAAATTGGCTTTAAACTTTGGAATATAGCCAAAGCCTGTTTGCTTTCCTCCCTTAAAAAACCATAAAAATATGTGTTCCCAGGGCCACACAAAAAATTCCCAGCATCCTCTGCAGATACATATTGGGGTGCCAAATGAGTTGGAGTTCTGCACCCTGGTGTTTCTGCCAGTACTGATGCAAAGGTAGGCCCACACAATTGCATTTATACATGTGTGTATACACACACACACACGTATTCTTTAGCTGTGATTCCTGCATTGCAGGGGTTGGAGTAGATGACCCTTGGAGTCCCTTCCAGCTCTACAATTCTATTATCCACTGAAGTACAGCTCTTACTTTCTAACAGGAGTGTTTTTCTATATTTTCATGTTCTCTCTTGATGTATTCTGAAGTAGTCAGCATTCAAGTCCTTGTGCTTTTCAGGTTACAATTGATCAGATGTGCCTAATCAGGGAACATGACCACTATTCTCTTTTTGTATAATGAGAGAACAACATCTGCATAGAGAATTTTAAAGGGTCCTAGTTCAAAGAAGGAAGATGGATGCAATCTCCATGCTGAAGATATAGATATATTTATCTTCAGTTTTTATCACTCCCATTCCCATAAATAACAACAACACAGGAGGGACTCTCTGCTTTGCTAGGACCCTCCCTATTCTTTAGTTTAATTACTGTAATGCTTAACCCGACCTTATGTCTTGTGTTGTGTGCCAAGCTGTGGGTTGCTTAGCTAGCACTGTAACTATCTTTCCAGGAGTAGACACAGGGAAGCGTAGGATGACTTCAGCTACTGTGTAGTGGTGGTATCATGTGATCTACTTGTGTCTTTCACTCCCCACTTTCCTTGGCTTATTGTCTGCATGCCCCCCCAACACTGGTTAGGCCACTGTCCATGAAAAGCTGATGCTAATTGCAAGTCTTTGTACTTCCCTGTTTAGGGAAGTTTTTAATGTTTGATATTTTATCGCTTTTTTATTCTGTTGGTTACAATTGTTCAAATTATTATTATTATTATTACTACTACTACTACTACTACTAATGCACATATACAGGCCTCCTCATTTATCACTTGCTACATAGCTTCCATTACTTGCCCTGATGTTACAGAAATAATTAACTTCCTTTATTGTGAACACTTCAAAATCTGTCCCACACTCCAGGGTTGCTTCTCTTGAAGGGGGTGTGGCTTGCAGACTTGTGAATATAAGAGGGAGGCAAATGTTCTAGGATAACTTGAGACTCCTGTACTGCCACCAGGGGAGACCTCCTGCTAGGTGCATTCCCAAAACCAAGTGTAGGATCAACAGTTACTGTCATTAACTGGATCCATCATTGTGTGTGGAGTCTTGGAGACACTGCTTTCCTCACATGAACATATCCTGCTTGTATTCTACTCTGTATCCTAAAGGTGTGTAAGGAAGAAGGTTTTCTGATTTTTTGAGCATACACCATGTTCTAAATCAGAGCCTTCTTAGCTAAAGGGTTCACGCAGCAAGGAAGCTAAAGCAGAATTTGGGAGTAGATTGTATATTCATGTCCAATAGGAGTTGCTTCCTTTGGCCTGATTCTAGATGATTAAATAAGAACATTAAATGCTTAAATGAAAGCATGGGCTGGAGAATTAACCAAGTTTCTAAAATGCCTTCATACTTCTCAGATTTTAGTTTATACCATCTGGGTTTCAATAGCATATTCTGCAACCCTACTGTGGCATATATAATCTGCAGTTTTAAAGTGTGTGGATTGGATTACATTTAGGGTATGTTGTATTACCTCTTTTGTAGCTCCATAATCCAATCTGTAAGAGAGAGGTTGCTTCCAGGGTTGCTGAAAGGTTGAGAACGCTGGTCAAATTTACATAAAGCTGATTCGATGTTTGGAAATAGTAATGGCAAGATAATAATAATTAAAAAGATAATAAAAAAGTGGTGGTGTCTGCACTGTTCTGGGCAAAACTAAAAATGTATATTAATTTCTATGTCATATACTATGGTCACTTTTAGAGACCTGTCTTCTTTATGTCTATTTCCATCTTCTACAGGAAAGTCCCTCTAATATTAATGAAGCATAAATTCAGTTGCAACTAATCTGTTTTATTGATTTTAGTGGGACTTGAGTGGGACTAACATTCTCTAAATTTGGGCTCATGTATTTAGTCCTGGGGATGTGTTTCCATATAGATGTACATGGAGTCCATTTTGCCACAAGTGGCTTTTTAATCAAATGTTTTGTTTTTGTAATGGTTTATGGTTGAAACAAACTTTTATTTATTTACTGTAGAGACCCACCACCATTTGTTCAGTAACTATCTGCCAGTCCCACCCCTTGACCAAACACATGAGCTTTACATTGTGCTTCCTAAACTGTTCCCAGCACTACCAACAAATTGGCAAAGAACCTGGAAAGCTTCCACAGTCCAGCCCCCTCATTTTGAAACCACTCCATCTGCTGTGAATATGGGTTGTGTGAATCTCTATGTAGCGTAATGAGACTGATTGTTAAAGTATGTGCACAGCACATAACTCAACCCTTACATTGTTAACTGTGCTGCTGCTGCAGTCATTTCCAGGAGCTTCGCAATGCTATAATAAATGTGTCTAGAGCAGGGGTCAGCAACCTTTTTCAGCCATGGGCTGGTCTACCATCCCTCAGACCATGTGGTGGGCCGGACTATATTTTTTTGGGGGGGTGGACGAATTCCTATGCCCCGCAAATAACCCAGAGATTCATTTTAAATAAAAGCACACATTCAGCTCATGTAAAAACATGCTGATTCCCAGACCGTCTGTGGGCCGGATTGAGAAGGCGTCCCGGACCTTAGGTTGCCTACCCCTGGTCTAGAAAGTTGGGACCTGTCATGCTAAGGCAGCATTAAAATACCCTTCTTATATAGTTTTTCTATATTTTACTAATGTCTAAAAACAAGATTTACTGGTATGGCTGAAACAAAATTATATTGAAGGCTGTTAATCAGAACTGGATGAAGAGTTGGTGAGGGTCAATATTATTGGTTAAGAAAAAGATGCCATCATGCCTAATAAAGCTCATGTGAGGCATGCCTCCTACTGGTACACCAGCCCTTATCATCCTTTCTGTTTTTTTGTTTCTTCTGAAAGAAAACTGGATTCTCCTCTGATTAGCATCCTGCACTTGGTGCTTGCCACCATTTTTTTCTCCAAATGTAAAGTATACAGTAAACTGTTCTTCTATTAAACGTGTTTTGAAAACAATTCTGTTTTCCTTTTTTACATTCAGTCTAGAAATTCATTCTGACATCATGCATTAAGTTTGGCCCTTACTGCTGGTGTACACAACAATCATGGTCTAGAAAGTTAGAGGAGTGTTGGACCTCAGATGCAAGGACCCTACTCTAGCACAGAAAGAGAGGCAGTTTAGTGGCTTCCCACCATGCTCACACCCATTTGGCTTTCTAGGCCTCTTGGTAACCTGTGATGATGGATGGAAAGAGGGGCAGTTTAGGGGTTACCAAGAATTATGATCTGTCTCTACTTTGTCCACTGTGTTGCAAGATTTCCATGTTTGGAAGGTGAATCATGATCAAGACTGCAAATTGGCTTTTCTTAGAAGGTCAGCCAGACAGCACGGTGCCCAAAGCAGGGAGCAAAATCTTTGTTTTCTGATGAGTTTGCCATGGCTGAGTCATGCCGGCTTATGAGCTGAAGGTGACTATAAATCCAAGTGTTAAATACTTGAGCAACAGGTTTTTCTGTAGAGGAGCCAAATCCTAAAGAAAGATATCAGAGAATATCCAGGAGGCAAGAACCTCACAAGCAAGAAAGATTGCATCCTCACTGCATGTATTTGTTGTCTAACATGGTACAAGTACTAACAACAATGCTAGGATTTATGTGCCCTCATCATATTTGTGTAATGTGATATGATGTGAAGTTTCAGTTAAGAGTTTTCTAGACCCAAACAGTATTTGCTGCTTGAATAGCTGGCCAGACAAAATAGCTGATTTCTACCCTCTGAGTCTGCAGTGTAAACAAGGAGAACAGAGTAAAGAGCCTGTATGGTGGTGGATGATTTTTCAATTTCATATTCCCATTTCTTATTTCTCCTGCTTGTCGCTCTGACTGTGGCACTTTCTCCTAGGTGCAGCCTCCTGTGCGTGAGAATGATGAAGACAGAAGCATCGCTAGGCTGGATGAAGGGCTAGATGAGTTTTTCACAAAGAAGGTGATTCATGAGCATTTACAGTAAGTGAAGAGTTTTCCGCAGCCCAGTCGTTACCAGTGAACAATAACTAGATGGCGGGGCATTTCTGCACCATGGGGTAGAAATCAGGGAGGCAGCCCATGACATAGGCAAATATTATGACAATGATAAAAGTTTAATGAGATTTGTTAACAATTTTCGCAGCAGGCAGAACTATTGGGCAAATTTTGCATGAAGAATTGGATTGTTTCGCATGATGAATACGTTCAGTGCTGAAATGGAGCACAAATGCTGTTTCCTAACATGGAGTGGCAATGCTATCTAATGCTATTTAAGGAGACCATGCTTTCCCAAGCAGAGTAGCTTCCACCGGCACTATTGCATTGGCAGTTAACTTCCTGTGGTTCTCTGTTTTGATGTTGGGGAACATTCAAAACTGCTATCTTCAACCTGTGCAGACAAGGCATTTGTCATTTTCTTTCACAGAGTGGGTAATTATGCTGGCACCTGACTGGTTCTTCCTTCATTTAATACACTGAGTTCATTGTGGCATATTTGTACCAAGGGTGCCCTATTCACAAAAATTCACTAGGATTCCAAGATGTCAATATGACTGCAACTCCTCAAGTAATTCTATGATTATTTCTTGTCTGGTTGCAGGCCTGCATCATTGGAATCCTGCCTGGCAGCAGCCACGCCAACAACACCATCTGGTTCTCGGACCTTGAAAAAGAAAATTGGACACTTCTTTGCCTTCAAGAAGCCGAAGTCAAGCCGGGGTTCCAGGCCAGAGAAAGAGCCCGAGGGTAGTCCCTCAGCAACAAGGGGCAGGAAGCTGATGCTTAGTGACATTTTAAGGGCCCCCAGCAAAGCCAGCGAGCCAACTAAAGCACTAAGCAAGTCTGAGGAAGGAGGGCTGGCTTTGGAGAGCAGAGGTTACCTGGAGCAAAGCCAAACTCCAGACAGTGCTCGAAGGGCCAGGCCAAAATACTCCAGGGAGGGGAAGTCCCAGTCCCTGATTCTTCTGTCAGGCGAAGATGAAGAGGGTCTTGGTGTGAGACATGAGAAGGTAAGTCTTTTCTGTCTCGTGTGTGGCTCAGTATTTATTTAATTAATATATATTATTTCCACCATGGAACTCAAGGTGGCATACATGGAATTCCCAGTCTCTTATACACTGACCAGACTCAGACCTCCTTAGTTTCAGCAAGACTGTTCCATTACGTGTCTATGGGACATTTCATGTGATGAATCTGGTCTTTTAAAGTCAAGAATGTGAACACTCAGTTTAGCCCTAAGATGGAAGATGGTGAGTCTTATGATAGAGATGACTGGTCATGCCCCTTTGCTAGGGAGAAGAAAAAACAGGTTTATCCCTAACAAAGCTAGGCATAAGCTGCAGTTTTCTGTGGTTGTGTTCACAGACCAACTGTCAAGATATCTTCAAAGAACACAGGTTTCCAGTTGTGTTCATGTGTCAAGAAAGGGAAGCATCCTGTAGTTGTTGACTACTTCGTAGTGAGTGGGATGTTATACAGGGGGGTGTTGTCTATTTTATCTCCCCTGCCTGCTCAAACCCAGTGAGACAGATGACTGTCAAGAAGCAGCTGTACAAGTTCTTTGTCATCACAGCAATGATTGCTGTAGGGTGGAAAGATGGATCTTACTGAAATTCCAGCTGTGGGAAAGGGACTGGATACTCTATTACTAACTATTGGACTGTTTGGGTGAGTGTGAAGAGCAGGTGGTGGCTTGTTCAAGGCACCTGGTATAAAGCTAGCTAGCTTGCCTGACTGTCCTGGCAGTATCCAGATAAAGGACCTCAGAAAGGACCCCCACCCCTGGTTCACACAAAATCTAAGGTTTAGCAACACAGCCAAGCTAGGATGCACAGCCTAGCTAGCTAGGTAAAGCTCCCAGTCTGTTTTGCTGAAGTGGTAAGTGGCATTGCAGCCCAGATTTGTCATGTGTTTTGTCCTATAGAAGAGGCCCTTTGAGAAGAGTGATGGTGAACTGCCCAGCTCCTTTGAACAACGTGTCCATGTCATGCTGCATCGGATTGGTGTCACTAAGGTGTTATCCACTGAAGGTAAAAAGAAACAGGTGAGGACAATGCTGCTTTTGGTGGTGGGTCTTTTAGCAGTAATAGTGATTTTTGAATTGCTTGGAACAGGCAGCCTCCTTTGGGAGAAGCTAAAAGTGTAATGAGAGCTAGGGAATGAAATGTGTTCTGAACAGATTATTTTCTTTGCCTGCTTTGATTAGTTTAATTTTAAATAAAACACTGTACTTAATTGCAGCCCATTTTTGCCTTAAACGGAAAAATAACTAAGGCTGCAATTCTGTACACACATACCTGGGGGTAAGCCCTACTGAACGCAGTGGAATGTACTTGTAAACCTGCATAGGATGCATAGTTAGCGTGAGTCTGTAATGCCAACAAAAGTAGTCTCTATGGAAAGAAATGCACATCCCAAATGATCTGCTGTTTGTTGCTTAATGGGCTTGCTCATGCACATCGGAGTCTCTTCAGTAGTGGGAGTTACTGGATAGATGTTCCTCTCTTTTGGCAAAAATCCAGATTGTGTTGCCTTTTAATCCATTCCATCTCCAAGATATGGTTCAGTCCCTGGTATCTGATGGACACTTAAGTGATTGTAGTGGGATATTCCATTGCCCATGAGAACAATAGTATTACAAAATTGCGTGTAAACTGACCATTACTGGCACCCTCACTCTCATATCCACTGGGGCCTATCCCAACAGCATCCTAATTCTTACTTCAGTCAAACTGAGATCCTCTCCATTTCGTGTAGGATTTCCTTTTCCTTGCCTTTCTCATGTAGGCTAATCTAGAGACAGTGTTTTCCAGAAAGGATTATCCCCTGAGAGTTTTTCTTTGCATTCTTTTGCAGAGCAAAGATGGGGAGATTAAGAAAGCTGGTTCTGATGGTGAGTAGCAGCTGACTCTACTTCTTCCCTGCTCCTACTATTCACTATGTTACATTGCTTGAGCAGTCCATACCTTGTCCTTCCTGAAGGACAAGAAAAGTGTTTCAAATTTCTAGATGCCTCAACCCTGGAATCCAAAATATTGTACTGTGCTCCCAAGAACCAGTACCCACTTAGTGCTCCTATCACTATACCACATCAAAAACCTTCTCTTGAAACTCCCCTAGCTTCATAAATGGGTTGCTGTGTGAAAATCACAGGTGCAAAGCCCCCTTGGGCATGTGAAATTAAGGAGCACACAAAAGAGACCCCTGGAAATCTATCCAGTTTTAACAGCAAGCATTTCAATGCATCCGTTTAGAAAGAGAAGCACAGAGAAAGCTGCAAACGCTTGCCTTCTGACTGTGCACTGAGCATTGATGACATCTACTGGACTTGAAAGGGAAATAATACGTGAGATGTTCCTGAGAAAACACAGAACTCATGCCCATGGCGTCTTTCCACCCACTCATTGCTTGTTGTTTTCTTTGTTAAAGGAAAACCAACAATACCACTGCTTTGTTTGTTACAACTTCTTCACTGAAGTGCTCTCTGTAAACCTTAGAAAATCTGAGGAAGGCTAGCTACAGCCAACAATGCTGTTTTCACTGATTCAGGAAGATCATGTTGGGAACCAATATGTTGCCATTCCTTTTTTATAAATGTTTTTATTAAAAGATTTTCCATAAGTAACAAGAATACATTCAGTGTCTCTATTTTCAAATAGTAGTCTTTCACACAGATCAATTGTAGTCAATTTGAGACATTTTTGTTATAAGCAATGTTGGGTTGAGGGGGAAAGAGAAGTGGGGAGATAGTAGAGAAGAAGGTGGTGGGAAGAGACAGTAAAGTTTCATTCTTTACAGAGTATATGAGTGCTGCTTTTATGTCTATGGTGTGTGGATAGGTGTCTTACTTTTGCTGATGGAGTGAGAGCAAGAGATCATGCTACACATAATGACAAATGATTTATTTTAGCATCAACTCACTGTTTCAAATTCTATTTTATAATGTAATGGTTCCGATCTTCTCAAATATGAGCTATGGGGGTATCTTTCTGCAAGCAAGAGCAAGGTATTTTCATGCTAAGTGAGTAACTAGAGCAAACCTGCCACAATGATGTGAAGATTTATGAGATATACAGCATGACTCCCAAATTTCAAACTCGGCCAGCAGGATATACTGCTGGCAGAGGTGCCAACAGCCTGACTGCTAGGGTGGTGAACCTCTGGCCTGCAGGCCAAACTTGGTCCCATTTACCCCACAAGGCTATTTTCCCAAAACCACACCCACCTGCCCATCTGCTGATGGGCAGGAGAGGGTTTAATCCTGCATTGGCGGTGCACTGTTTCCAGCAGGAAACACGATCATGTAGCCAAGGCAGTAAGATTTAATTCCCACTCAACAGCTTATGAATCTGCTTAGTTCAATCATGCCATCATTCCTGTTTAAGCCCCCAAAATTGGAGTTTCAAAGTGTGGGGTATGTCTGAAAGGGAGTGCTTCTCTAAATATCCAAGAGAGCAGTGACAGAGGACGTGAAAGAAGCATGCATTGTACAAGCTCGTTTCTCCTCTCCCTCACCCTCCACTGCCTGTTCCAATTTTTAAAGGCTTGCTTCTTCTCTCCCACCCACCCCTTTAAACATCTGAGAGGGTGGTGGTGGGTAGGAGAAAGGAGCAGGTTTAATGCAGGTTTCTTTCTCCTCCCTGTGGCACCCACTTGCTCAAATGTTTAAAGGACTTTGCCAAGCTCTAAATCTCCAAGATTGGGAATTAAAGATGGACAAGGGATTTTGACATGTGACTAACCCCACTCGTATATCAAATTTGGCCTATGATAAGGAATCTGGCACATGGAGCCAAAAGGGTTGCAACTAATTCTCATGAGATAATATGCAACATATAATGAGCTTGCAATGGTGTTCGATATCTAGTTCTCAGTGAAGTGGTTAACCTGTGCACAAGCTTTATCACTTCACACTGGTGGAATTTATGCCATTCATATGTTGCTTTTTCCATTATCAAAATTTTGTAATACATACATGAGGTTCCCAGGCTATATCTCACCCTGGCACTGACCTGACCTAAACCTGCTTAGCTTCATTATGGTTGCCTTCAGACTATCTTCCATAGAAAAAATCCCATACATGTAGAAAACTAGATGTCAAGCAGAAGAGTTCTAGTTAGTTTTCTACATGCAGGGAAGGATTATATCATATAAGCCTCCAGCTGCATTCAGCAGGATCTAGGTTTTTACAAGTTTAGCTGCACTTTGGATAAATAACCCTTTGACCTTCAGCAGTAATCCATGCCCCCAAACACATTCTACACCTTGTTTTTGGCCTGCTTCTTGAATGTGGTTGTTTGGTTTCTAGGGGATATTGTGGACAGTTCAGCGGAATCTCCTCCTTGCCCCTTGAAATCACGCACACACTCCATGTCCACAGGTAGGTGTGCTTTGAGATTGGTGAGTTTCTTTTCCATGGTGCTTTATAATACTGTAGTTTTCACTCTTCAGCTATAGCAGATCAGTCTCTTCAACTGTTCACACACTTGCCATGGCAATCTGCATATAGAGCTCAGGGCCAAAGCTAGGCATGGGACAATGGGGGATTTCCTCCCAATGTAATGTAAAATGTAAAAAATGTAAAAAAGTAATAATAATGGTAGAAAGAGGGAATAAATAAATGATTTGGAGATGCAGAATCATCCCAGAAGAACTGATCAAGCATGTAAGAGTGGGGGGTGTGAATGCTGGTCCACTTGATAGCATGTGGTGCTATATTGCAGATCCCTCCGTGCGGCTAGGTCCTGCTGATGCTGCTGGCAGAACAGGTACAGAACCCAGTGGAGGATCCAGTGAGGGGAGACTATCCTGGAAAGCTCTTGGGAAGCAACTCAATGTAGAGCTCAAGGGCAAGTGTTCAGAACTCAGCTCTTCGCCAAGAAGAGCTTTTGCCGTACAAGAGCCAGCCAGCCCAAGAGAGCAGAAAGCAAAAGAGAGCTGGAGCAGCAGTTTGCCCAGGATTGGGAGAAGCACAGCAGGCCCTCTTCCTATGCGGAGGACTAGCAATGCTGGAGAAGGACGAGCATTTGCCGAGCTACAGAATTCATATGCTGACGTAAACGTGATTGCTGGAGGTACGTTCAGTAGATTCCGGTACTAGTGGGGCTCCAGTATTGAAATCCTGCTTCCCAAAATCTTGCTGCTTGCTTCTCTGCCAACATCCCAGAGGCCAGAGCACAGTGAAGCAAGTTTTCTCTATGTCTCAATTTGCTATTATGTTCATTTGGAACAAGGGAGAAGGAAAGTGTAATCTGGCTGTCTCAGCAAACTTGTATTTCTTGGAACATTGCATGGGATGTAGCTAATTAATCCAAAGCTTGTAGCTTGCCAGTGATAGGCTGGCCAAATCTGGAGGAGATATGGCTTAACAGCAAAACCTACTTTCTGTGTGGCTGCTCCCAGAATACGCCTGAAATTTGTCAAGGCCTGCTTGAATAGCATATAACCCCTACCCTCTATCTTTCAGACAATCAACTCATACCCAAATCTCGTCTGAAGCCTGTGGCAAACCGGAGGGCCATGTCTGTTCACGAAGAACAGCTCAGGGACCAGGCCTGTGCAGCAGAGCTGCACCGTAAGTAAACATGCAGAGCACAGCATTCTTTCAGAGCACAAATCATGATCTAAAGAATGAATTTACTGTCTAGGTGGCTCTTGCAAGAAGCAAAAACTCTGCTTCCATGCGCCCTGGGGTACTTTTCAGATAATCCCCTTCTCCCAGTCTCATTTCATTTTGGATTTGTTAACAAGAAACAACTGTCAACGTTTTAGACTTATATTGCTTTTTCTTCCACTAAGCACTGATTCAGTGAGATTGGCCTTCATCCCTGCCACCTATTCAGAAGTAAAAGTAAGTCAGGTGAATTAATATACAAGGTACCAGGGTTAGTTTTTGTGGTGGTTTGGGAACTGTGTAGGACAGTGTCTTCAACACTTCAAAGTGTGGGGAACTGGTTAGATAGTAGTCTCAAAATGCTGTCAGCAGAAGGCAAGGGTTAGTTTTTTTTCTAATAGGCACTGGGCTTCAGGTATGTACTGAATTACCAGGGACCTGGAGTGTTCCTTAAGTGAGACAGGCTGTTGCTGGTCAGCAGATGGGGAGAATGTAAGTTTTACACACACACACACACACACACACAGAGAGAGAGAGAGAGAGAGAGAGAGAGAGAGAGAGAGAGAGAGAGAAATCATATATGATGTTGCTTCATAAAATGTTTGTGAAGAGGGTATGGACCAAGATGGGAGACTATGGTGTTAAATGTGCATGGCTGAAGGAGAAAGAGTAGAGCTATGGAGCTAAGAGTAATATTACCTTTTAAGATAATTCCTCCCGCCCAAAAAATCTGGACCACCAGCCTTGCTTAAATTTGCCATCCTTCTTATTGGTTGTCACCAGCTTGTGTCTCATTCTATATTACAAGTTCAATGAGAGGGGTTAAAAATATGGATAGGGGAGAAGAAAGTGTAAGGCATGTAGGCAACAGATAAACTGAGGGGTGTGTGAGTAATCTGCAAGAGTCTGAATGTTGATTAAAAGGGTCAACAATAAGATAGTGTAGACATAAAGTCCCAAATGGCCTTATATGAAAAAGGGAGAAAATAAATAAGGCAATCAGAAAGGTCAGTGAAACATTCATTAGTATAAAAGACCATTGGACAAGGTAAGAGGTTATGCATGTCAGAACTGTGATACAAAGAAACCACCAAGCCTCTGTATGAGATCTGAGTATAAGCAGGTTTTGGAAGAAATAATAGGCAAGTCACTGCTTACATGTCCATTGAAATTGCCACTAGCCACATATCCTGATAATGCCAACTGGGGGTTCATGGATTCTCTTGAATAAAAAGATTATGACAGAAGTGTGTTACTACAACATAAACTGACAAGCAATAAGAATACCAATAAAAATCTACAGTGGTACCTCTGGTTACGAACGCTTCTGGTTACAAACACTTCGGGTTATGAACTCCACTAACCCAGAAGTAGCTGCTCCTGGTTGCGAACTTTGTCCCAGGATGCGAATGGAAATTGTGCACTGCAGGATAAGAACGGTTTCATCTCAAGAACAGACCTCTGGAATGCCTTAAGTTCGTAACCAGAGGTACCACTGTACTTGGAGACAAGGAATTGAACTCCGAAGGCCATTGTCCATTAGCTGTGCTCATCTGCCAGCTTGTAACTACTGCTATGTACATATGACTTTAGCCCATCTGCCATGAGGCTAGAAGTGGGATATCACTGCCAAGAGCTCTAGAACAGAACAGCGTCTGCTGGAGCACTGTGTACAGTGATCCTTAAATATTACACACAAAATGTACTTAGTGACATTTTACAGAACTGCCAGCCTCATTATCTATCTCAACTGCAGCAGGCCTCTTTCTCAATCTGGTTAACATGTTCACCTGACTTTTATTCCCTACAGATGCAAAGCTTCCTCTTTGTCTGCAGCGCTCCCCAATTGTGAAATGGAAGATTAAGCCCAAGTCCTTGTTGGAGCCCGGGACATCTACACCATCTGACTCACCAAGTAAGGACAGCCACCCCCCCAAAAAAAAGTATACAGTGTTTTCCTCCCATAGACAGATTTAATACTTTTCTATAAAAACTTCCCAAGTTGGTTCCAAACTTTATTACTCAACTTCTGTTGATTGCGGCACAAGTGGTATAATTACCTAGCACTTACCACCGAGGAGCCAATAATCCAACCCCGCCCCATGAACACGTGTTTTTCGGACAGCAGTATCTAAGAGATGGTTGATGCCACATTAAGTATAAAATGTTCTGCATTCACATTTTCCAAATCTGACTTCTTTTTCAGTGTTGTGTTCTAGTGGGTACTAATCACAATACTTTCCATAGCAGAGGCAGTTCCTGAGGAACATCAGAGAGTATTACTGCTTTTTGTGGGCTTCCCATAAGCATCAGTTTGGCCACTGTGGGAAAAGGAACACTAAACTAGATGAGCCTTTAATCTGATCCAGCTGGACTCTTAGGTTTATTGGTTGGTTGGTTGGTTGGTTGGTTGGTTGGTTGAATTAATTTATATCCCTTCCTTCCTTCCAAAGGAGCCCAGGCATTGCAGGCAGTAAAGAAGGCCACTGGTATTATGCTGATAGTATGGTTGTGGATTTTCTTGCAGGCACTCCACGCCAAGGAAGGAACAAGGAACTCACAGAGGCAAAGCCAAAAGCAGAAATGGAAGAAGAGTTGCAACAAGCTCTGGAACAAACTCTAGAGAACGCACAAAATACAGCCCTAGACCAAAGAACTGCTGTGCCACTCTCCAAGTCACCAACACAAGAGCACTGAGTCAGTGGCTGGTGATTCTGCATGATGGCAGCTCACACAAATGAGCACAGAAGACAGGCTTATAACTTGAAGCAGCAGAACAGCCATCTGAGGAGGTGCAAGCAATTCAGCACAGGGCCAAGCAAGCCCCATCATGGCTCCTTGGTTGGTAGAGCTGGTGTTTCCAGTGAGATAAAGTGATGTCAAAACTCTTGCACGTTTGGGTTGTCCCCTTTTCACCTTTCACCCTTGTATACTCTCATGTAAGTGCCCAGTGTTCTAATGGTTCACATAGGAAAAGCCAAATGCTGAGTATGCAGGAAACCGGCTATTTCCAGCAAGTTATACAGCTGGCAGCTGGTGCAGATGCAAAAATGTGTAGTGCCAGAAACTGAGAACCACCAGCAGGAGGGTTGGGTGGGGGGCTATTTTATATACACTAAACTTGCCTGCCTTGCATTGTACTTTTCAGGAGTGTGAAATTTGGACAGCTTGGGGTTTGCAGAAAAGGTTAAAAGCGCCACAAAGCCAGGTTGGTCTGTCTCATATTGACAATCTTGCTCCGTCCTTTAGCCTGCATCATTTCTGTTCCTAGGATTCCACTTCTGCCATATCTTTCTATAGCCTTCGTATTGCCTAGGGGGAAAACTCTATTCTAGGCAAATAACCATTGGCATCAGTTAGGTGTTTGGCATGAATGAGGCATAAGGGGAGGGTGTGATTTGGCAGCTTTCAGCAAGTTATAACTAATAAAGAAGTTTCAGCTCCTCTGTTCCACAATTAAATGAGGATGATAACTCAAATCAGCAGAATTTGTTCTTGTCTCATTTATTGTGGTATTAGGACTGTTGCCTTTATTTCCCTCCAATTTACAGACTCCATCTGTGTCTTGCTGGTACAAGAAAGGTGGGAGAAAGAGAAGATGCTTAAGTACCATGAAAAGGGTAAGCGAGAGGTGTCTTGCAAAAACTCAGTGCTTCTGTTTAGAGCTACTGCAAGATGACTAATCACCTCTTAGAAAAATAGGCAGGTTCCCTCCCCCCCCAATGCCATCTTAAAGGGAACAACTTACCATAACCAATATGCTTTAAAGCACAGATGGAGAAGTTGTAGGTACTAAAGCTCCAACCATCCTTGATTATTGGCCAGGCTGGCTGGAGCTGATGGGAGGCTTGAGTTCAGCAACATGGGGGAGGCACTCCTCATTCCCTGCTTTAAGGACCCTGCAGCTGCTCATGGAGGTCACTACAAGTGTTAAATTTTCACACAGAAAGCACTTTTTTTGTACAAGAGCTGGTGAAGACAGTTTTTGCAGTGCTGAGAAACTCACTAAACGCAGCTGTGCTGTGCTGTGTGTAAACACTGAAAGATTCAGTCATTCTCCACAATCATTTATGAGTTTAACTACACCCAAGTGCTTTGGGTGTAGAAAATCTGTAATATTAAGATTCTCACCGAGCCTCAGTCATTCAGGGAACTCATGCCCCGCCCCATCCCCAAATAATATTGAAAGAGATACACACAGCAACAGCCATGGAATCCTGTTTCTGTAGTTTGAGAACAATCTGGTTTAAGAATTAAACTGCAAGACTCCTATAGACTTTGACACACACTAAAACGCAGGGGGGAATCTAGCTCTATGTTATTGTTCTTCAGTATTTATCATCAATTACCAAGCAAATATTGCATGTATATTTAAGATATATTCTAGCACAAATAGCTGGTTTTCTTTACATTTAAGGTAAAGATTTGTTTTATTTAAACTTTCAAACAGTATTTGAATTATTGTGCTCAGTTTTGGAAAAAAAGCACGCACATATTTTCTATGAGAGCTGTTTTTTTCTAAATTTGTTTTCATTTTATCAAGCATGTAAGCTATAAAAAACATTTTGTAATTAAATGAAATGGGGAAATGTTCAAAATAATTACAGACCCATGCTATAATTCAATTCAAAACTGACGTTGACACAAGAAGGTATTATTCACAGTAAATATTCCTATCTCCTCTCCTCTTTACCTGGCTAAAAATACCCAATTCCCTCAACTGTTCCTCATAAGGCTTGGTTTCCTTTATCATATTGGTAGCCCTCTGCACACATTTCAGCTTGTTAATATCCCATTGACACTTAGGCAATCAATATTCTTTATTCTCATTTCATTTTTTTAAAGAAACTGAACAGGAAATATGAATACAAAACTTAAATGGAGTAGGTTCCATATGTTTCTTTACTTTTTATTGGTTATTTATTTATTATAAATAAATAAATAATTAGAGTTAGCAAGCTCAGCTCCAATGTATAATGCTTATAAGGAAAAGTACCACCAAGGGCAGGAATGTGCCTACATAGTTAACCTACTGAGCTATTGGAGGAAATAAGGCTTCTTTCAGAAAAGTTTTATCCTCATTAAAACAACGAAAGAATACAAGCAGGCAAGAAGGAATTAAAAAAGCAGAGCATATTGCTTAAAACTTAAGACTAGCAATAATAAGAAATACACTGGAGCAGGAAACCTGCTAGGGAGGCAATTTGACCTATTGATGGCAAGGGAATCAAAGGTGTACTACAGGAGAAAAAGGAGATTCCAGAGAAGCTGAATGAATGTTGTGCATCTGTCTTCACTGTTAAAGGTAATGGCCAGATCCATGTGCGTGAACCTTGTCAGGAAGGAGTCTGAGGCAAATAGTGGTGAGAAGAGATAAAATTCCAGCCCTTACTCAGAAATTAAAGATGGAAAAAAATAACAGGTCCACATGTCATCCACTCAAGTTCTTAATTTGCTTGTTTTATACCAAAATATTTAATTTATCCCTAAGATCAGCCTCTATATCTAAACACTGGAAAGTTAACTCCAATTTTAAAGAAAGGATCCAAGTAGAATCAAGGAAATTACAGCCCGGTCAGCTTACTATCTGTTCCAGGAAAACTGGTGGAAAGCATTAAAATCCCAACCTCACTCTTATGGCATCCAAACTGGAGTCGTAGTGGATAACTTCTTGAAGATGTTGGCCCAGGGTGCGACAGCTGTGAAAAAGGCAAATTCCATTTTAGGGAGCCTTTGGGAAATGATTAAAACAACACTGCCAATGTCATAATGCTCTTATTAAAAACTGTGGTGTGACCACAGTTTGAATAGTGTGTTCTGTCCTAGTCTCACTGTATTTCAAAAAGGATATTGTAGAATTGGAAAAGGTTCAGCAAAGGACAAGCAAAATAAGAATGGGGCTGGAACAATTCCCCCTTGAGGAAAGGTTGCAACATATGTGGCTTCTTAGTTTAAAGCAAAGATGAATGGGGGACAATGATGACATAATAGAAGTGTCTAAATTAAGCATGGAGAAAGTTTTTCTCCCTCTCTAACACTAAAACCCAGGGCCATTCAGTGAAACTGAATGTTGAAAGAATCAGGACAGATAAAAGGAAGTATTTCTAACACAGTGCATAGTGAAAATGATGAAATTTGCTACTGTAAGATGAAGTAATGGCCACCAACTTGAATAGCATTAAAGGGGTTTAGACTACTTCATAGAGAATAAGGCTATTGGTGGCTACTAGCAATGGTGATAGTATTGGAATTAGTATGCCTCTGAATAGTTGAGGAGCACAAGTGGGGAGAATGCTGTTGCACTAATGTCCAGCCTGCGTGCTTCCCATAGACACCTGGTTAACCACGGTGAGAACAGGATGCTGGACTAAATGGGTCTTACGCTCTTAGAGAACAAAAATTTAGTATGGTCAGCTTACTTTCTGATCATTGGTTCTAGGAACAGCATGCGCTACAAGATTGTACTGTGGTATTGTTATTTGGCCATCCCCTGTGGAAGCAGCTAACACATCCCCTTGTGACAAAAGCAGAATAGCCTCTGCTTTACAACCGCTGGCACACATGTGAAGTCAGTTCCTTTCTTTTGAGCCATTACATATACTAATAATAATAATAATAAATTTTATTTATATCCCGCCCTCCCCAGCCGAAGCCGGGCTCAGGGCAGCTAATAATAAAATAATAATAATAATAATAATAATAATAAATTTTATTTATATCCCGCCCTCCCCAGCCGAAGCCGGGCTCAGGGCGGCTAACAACAATCAAATAATCAAACAGTCAAATAATCACACATTCTAAAAATATTTCATTATAAAAATTAATTAAAATCAAATTGATGGCAACCGATTAGACAAAATTCTGTGCAGGTTGCCAGAGGAGGGAGTCAGGCTGCGCCCTGACCAAAGGCCTGGTGGAACAACTCTGTCTTGCAGCCCCTGCAGAAAGATGTCAGGTCCCGCAGGGCCCTGGTCTCTTGTGACAGAGTGTTCCACCAGATTGGAGTCGCAGCCGAGAAGGCCCTGGCTCTAGTTGAGGCCAGCCTAACCTCTCTGAGGCCTGGGACCTTGAGGATGTTATTATTTGCAGACCGTAGGTTTCTCTGTGGGGCATACCAGGAGAGGCGGTCCCGTAGGTACGAGGGTCCTAGGCCGTATAGGGCTTTAAAGGTTAAAATACTAAACATTTGTTTTCAAAAATTTATTTTAATATGTAAGGTACTAATCATTATAATATGGCAAAGGTGACTAGATAAATCCAACCTGAAAGGAACAAGGAACTTCAGCAAAGACTATCATTTATGTGTGCTGTTGAAAACCCAGCATGCCCATGCCAGCAATGCTCTTGAGATCCTGCAAAACAAAAACAAAAACAGGAAACAATGTGAAAATAGGATCATAGGATGGTGGATAAGCAGATCATTCTTGCCTGCTGTGTCATATTCCTCAAAATAAAAATACCGGTATATCATTAGCAAGATCTTATGGAAGGCAGCAGTCATTGAACAATTACTTTTACCTTCTCCCAGTTATTTCTCTCCTGTTCCTGCAGTAGGCAGTTCCTTTGGACTCTATGCAGGGCAATCCCTCTGTCTCCCATATCACTTCAAGTATTACTAGCTTGGAAATACACTAACCTTGTAGAGTGCACTTGGGAGCAGAGTTCAGATGTTGGTGGCATGTACGTAAAATGAAAAGGGGCTCCTCTCACATACTCCTACAGGAAGGAACAGAAGCAGATTTGTGAATTTGAAGTCAGGTTTGCTACCTTGCTCTGTCTTTTGAGATTTACAGGCTACTTCTTTCCCAAACCACTCTCTGCAGGGAGGATGGGAAGAAGGGAAGAGACAGGGATTTCAAGCCATGAGGCCACACAACTGGTGAGGAAAAGTCATTCACGTTGCACAAGTGAATATAAAACTCTACACTCTGCCTATTGGTAGAATCAAACATAAATACAATATTTGGAGTGGGGGCAAAGAAGAGACCAGGCTTTCTCAAACAGTTGTCAGGGAGCCCCTGCTCACACTATGAGAATCCTGGCTATAAACCAGTGTTTCAAAGGGTTTTTACCATCATTGTTCACCCAGATCAGATTTACCTGCTGTTGAACTCCAAGCTGTTCTTCTGGCCTAGTGATGACTTTTGAGGCTCCTGGCTCCCTTCCCTTTCCCAGGACTCCCTCTGTGCATCTAAATTGGGCTGATACCTGATGCTGTTGAACTTGCATCTCCTTTATCCGGCTCTTTTTGGACATGTTCATAGCTACCAATTCCATATTACTGGATTCTGGAAAGGCCGTGGTAGTATGCTGCCTTAGGGCTTTCAGACTGGTACATGTGGTACCAGAGAAAGTCTCAGTAGGCTCCTCATCTAGAGTCATTTGTTTCCTTTTAGCTGCCACACATGTCCTGCTTATGTCCAGGAATTTCTCCCCAGATCTTCTCACCGAAGTCTGATCCCTCTGCAAATGGGCCATATGATCTTCCTCTTTATTTTCAGACAAGGACCCAAGAGACATATTTCTCTGAATTGGAGAGTGGACAGAAGAGCGAAGGCACATATTAGTGTGAGAATGTGAATTCCTCAGTGATGGGCCACAGGGAATGGTTTCATCAGTATTTGCAGTTTTGCTGACACTACGTGCAGTGATCAATGCAACAGAGCTGGATTTTTGACTGGCAGATTCCTTGGGAGATGTACTGCTGTGAAAAGGAAGTAGTGATGGGGACACAGTCTCTTTTGGCACATCCTGGCCAGAGCTACAGTGGGACATATGAACACGAGGTTCCAACAAATCTGGGGTGCAGCTGTTGGAGCATGGAGTCTCTTCTTCCCCGGCAGTATTAGCCATGAGCACCTGCTGTGCGCAGGGGAGGCTGTGTGATATACCAGATGTATCTGCCAAAGCAAAAATGGAAACAACTACTTTTAAGTCATATAAGAAAACAAGCAGGCTACTGTGAACCTGGTACAAATGATCTCAAAAAGAATAAAATATACACAGCTACTTGCAAATATAACCAAGAATTACACGATATTCTGAAGGCTATTTGCATGTGGGTAATTCTGCCATTTCAAGGGGACAGGAACAGGGACGTGAACCTGATTTGTAAGAGATTTTGACTGGCTAGAATGACAATGTAGGCTCCAAATAGGCCATGACAGGAGGACAACTATAATATAAATAATTTGAGCTTAGTGCCACAGTAGAGCATGTCATCTTAGTGGGTAAAATTTAATTTTTGCAAATTTCTTCATTTGGGGGGGGAATCTTAAAAATATGCTTTTGGATGTGAGAAATTCAAATCTGCTATTTTTGTGATTAGACATTTAGCTTACCAAGTCTACATTTGATTAAGAAGCAAATAAACTCTTGGAAAACACAAAAAAAGATGTTTAACCTTCTGAAAGTGTCAGGTAATATAAAGTATGTATTAAATATATTGTATAACTGCAAATACTTGGCAATCATTTCTAATAATTTCTATGCACTTTCCCACACATTTTAATTACCAAGCAAAACAAAATTATATTTATTTAACCAAAGTATTTTTTTGAATTCCCAAATCATGTTAACAACTTTTTAGCACCCCTCATTTTTGGAATTTGAAAGTTGGAAAATTCAACATGCCCTAGCCCACAGGTAGGTTTTACACATCTGGTCATAGAATCATAGAATCATAGAATCATAGAGTTGGAAGAGACCACAAGGGCCATCGAGTCCAACCCCCTGCCAAGCAGGAAACACCATCAGAGCACTCCTGACATATGGTTGTCAAGCCTCTGCTTAAAGACCTCCAAAGAAGGAGACTCCACCACACTCCTTGGCAGCAAATTCCACTGTCGAACAGCTCTTACTGTCAGGAAGTTCTTCCTAATGTTTAGGTGGAATCTTCTTTCTTGTAGTTTGGATCCATTGCTCCGTGTCCGCTTCTCTGGAGCAGCAGAAAACAGCCTTTCTCCCTCCTCTATGTGACATCCTTTTATATATTTGAACATGGCTATCATATCACCCCTTAACCTCCTCTTCTCCAGGCTAAACATGCCCAGCTCCCTTAGCCGTTCCTCATAAGGCATCATTTCCAGGCCTTTGACCATTTTGGTTGCCCTCCTCTGGACACGTTCCAGTTTGTCAGTGTCCTTCTTGAACTGTGGTGCCCAGAACTGGACACAGTACTCCAGGTGAGGTCTGACCAGAGCAGAATACAGTGGCACTATTACTTCCCTTGATCTAGATGCTATACTCCTATTGATGAGGCCCAGAATTGCATTGGCTTTTTTAGCTGCCGCGTCACACTGTTGGCTCATGTCAAGTTTGTGGTCAACCAAGACTCCTAGATCCTTTTCACATGTACTGCTCTCAAGCCAGGTGTCCCCCATCTTGTATTTGTGCCTCTCATTTTTTTTGCCCAAGTGCAATACTTTACATTTCTCCCTGTTAAAATTCATCTTGTTTGTTTTGGCCCAGTTCTCTAATCTGTCAAGGTCGTTTTGAAGTGTGATCCTGTCCTCTGGGGTGTTAGCCACCCCTCCCAGTTTGGTGTCATCTGCAAATTTGATCAGGATGCCCTTGAGTCCATCATCCAAGTCGTTGATAAAGATGTTGAATAAGACCGGGCCCAAGACAGAACCCTGTGGCACCCCACTAGTCACTCTTCTCCAGGATGAAGAGGAACCATTGATGAGCACCCTTTGGGTTCGGTCAGTCAGCCAGTTACAAATCCACTGAGTGGTAGCATAGTCAAGACCGCATTTTACCAGCTTCTTTACAAGAATATCATGGGGCACCTTGTCAAATGCCTTGCTGAAATCAAGGTAGACTACATCCACTGCGTTCCCTTCATCTACCAGGCTTGTAATTCTGTCAAAAAACGAGATCAGGTTAGTCTGACATGACTTATTTTTCAGAAATCCATGCTGACTATTGGTGATCACAGCATTCCTTTCTAGGTGCTCACAGACTGTTTGCTTAATGATCTGCTCCAGAATCTTCCCTGGTATTGATGTCAGACTGACTGGGCGGTAATTATTTGGGTCCTCTCTTTTCCCCTTTTTGAAAATAGGGACAACGTTTGCCCTCCTCCAGTCTGCCGGGACTTCGCCTGTTCTCCAGGAATTCTCAAAGATGACTGCCAGTGGTTCTGAAATCACATCTGCCAGTTCTTTTAATACTCTTGGATGCAGTTCATCTGGCCCTGGAGACTTGAATACATCTAGACTAGCCAAGTATTCTTGTACTATCTCCTTAGTTATTCTGGGCTGTGTTTCCTCTGCTGAATCATTTGCTCCAAATTCTTCAGGTCGGGCATTGTTTTCTTTATCGGAGAAGACTGAGGCAAAGAAGGCATTGAGGAGTTCAGCCCTTTCTGTGTCCCCTGTTTGCATTTCACCATCTTCTCCTCTGAGTGACCCCACGGTTTCTTTGTTCTTCCTTTTGCTACGAACATACCCATAAAAGCCTTTTTTGTTGCTTTTAACCTCTCTAGCAAGCCTGAGTTCATTTTGTGCTTTAGCTTTTCTGACTTTGTGTCTACACGTGCTGGCTATTTGTTTGAATTCCTCTTTGGTGGTTTCCCCCCTTTTCCATTTTTTGTACACATCCTTTTTTAATCTTAACTCAGTTAAAAGTTCTTTAGATAGCCACCCTGGCTTCTTTAGGCACCTTCCATGTTTCCGTCTCATTGGTATTGCCTGAAGTTGTGCTTTTACTATCTCCCTCTTAACAAACTCCCAGCCATCTTGAACTCCCTTTCCTTTTAGTATTACTGTCCATGGGATCTCACCCAGCACTTCCCTAAGCTTTATGAAGTCGGCTTTCTTAAAGTCGAGAAATTGAGTCCTAGTATGCTTGGCTGCTCCTTTCCGCTGTATAGTAAACTTCAGAAGAGCATGATCACTCGCGCCTAATGATCCTTCCACTTCTACCCCACTAACCAGGTCATCAACATTGGTTAGGACCAGATCTAAAATGGCTGTTCCTCTTGTTGCTTCTCCCACTTTCTGGACAATGAAGTTGTCTGCAAGGGCAGTGAGGAATCTGTTTGACCTTATGCTCTTGGCTGAGTTTGACATCCAACAAATATCCGGGTAATTGAAGTCCCCCATTACTACTATCTCCCTTCCTTTTGCATGCTTGGCCATCTGTTCCAGGAAGGCATCATCTATGTCCTCCGTTTGGCTTGGGGATCTATAGTAAACTCCCACAATGAGGTCACTGTTATTCTTCTCTCCCTTAATTTTGACCCAAATGCTCTCACTTTGGCTTTGAGGTTCTAAATCTTGGATCTCTTCACAGGTATACACATCCCTGACATATAACGCCACTCCTCCTCCTTTCTTGTCTGGTCTGTTTCTTTGAAATAGATTGTATCCCTCCATTATTACATTCCAATCGTGGGATTTATCCCACCAGGTTTCAGTGATTCCTATTATGTCATATTTAGTTTGCTGTACCAGGAGCTCAAGCTCATCTTGTTTATTTCCCATGCTTTGCGCATTAGTGTACAGACATTGAAGTCCATTAATCATTCCCCCGTGTCTCTTATTTAAGGATTTTCTCCTCCCACCACTAGGTCTGCATGCTCTTTGCTCCATTCGGTCTATGACATTTGGATGATCATCTTCATCAATTGATAGACTCCTACCTTCAGGAGCACTGTCTCCCTCCCCCACATTAGTCAGTTTAAAGCCCTCCTGATGAGGTTTCTGAGATTTTTTGCAAAAACATTCCTCCCAACCGTTGTGAGGTGCAGCCCATCGCTTGCCAGAAGTCCATCTTCAAGAAACTGCATTCCGTGATCTAAGAATCCAAACCGTTCCTGTTTGCACCATTTGCGAAGCCAGTTGTTCACTTCCACTATTTTTCCCCTCTCTCCCTGGGCCACGTCGTTCAACTGGGAGGACAGATGAGATGACAATTTGTGCATTTAATTGCTTCAATTTCCTGCCCAGAGCCTCGTAATCTCTTTTGATCTTCTGGAGGCTATTGCTTGCAGTGTCATTGGTTCCCACATGAACCAAGAGGAAGGGGTATTTGTCAGTGGGTTTTATGATTCCTTGCAGTCGTTCAGTTACATCTTGGATCTTAGCCCCGGGGAGACAGCACACTTCCCGAGACATCTTGTCAGGCCCACAGATCACTGCTTCTGTTCCCCTCAGTAGGGAATCCCCTATCACCACTACACGCCTCCTCTTAGGTCTGGTCGGGGTTCTTCTGTGAGCTGTCGGTTCCAAGGTCGCCTGGACATTCCCAGAGGACTGCCTTTGCTCCTCGTCTTCATATACCTGATCGACTGTAATGAGGGAGAGATCCTCAAATGGAGTCTGCTCTTCGTCTTCCATGCTAGGGGAAAGGACCTCAAAGCGATTGCGTATTTCTAAAACAATCAGAGCGAACCCTGGGCCTCCTATTTCTTTGAGTCACGTTTCTCCATATATCTGGCTCCTGTGTTGGTGAACTAGCCACCTTCTCAGGGGAGTCCCCTGTCTCTTCCTTGGTGGAGACGGTGTGCTCTGTTGCTTCCAAGAAGAGTTCCAGCTCTCTAATTCTTTTGAGCGTAGCTACACGTTCCTCCAGTTGCTGGACTTTGGTCAGCAACCAATTTTCCATTTTCCCCTGTAACACTTTACCCACTGCCTTGTCTAATTCAAAGTATGGGCCAAATGGAGTGTGATGCAAGAGATCAGTGAGTGATATCTCTCTTTTGTGTGTGTGTTTCCTTTAAAGCAGCACAAAGAGTTCACACTTTGATTCAAGTAACAACAGGTGGCGGGGGGGGGGGTTGACTCTTTCCTGCCTGTCCCATTATCTCAATCTAGCTTCCAACTCCCTAGTTGCTGTTTGTCTCACTGGAGAAAAAAACACTCAAATGAGGCTTACAGCAGCTTCAAAGAAGAATGTGGTGGTTTCCAGCTCAATCAAAACAAGCCCGACACAGGCACTTTAATAACAAAATTTAGATTGGATCATAACCTCCTTCATTATTTTAGATTTGGGCCCAAGACACAGACAAATTTAACTCTCTCACCCTCAATATGAACAGAGTCAGAGGCTTTGGCAATGCCCACTTCCTTATAATGCAGCCCTGTTGCTCATATCCCTGCAAGAGCAATGGCATAAGCGAATGGCATGAACAGCAGAGGTGCATAGTACTGTAAAGGAAAGCTTCTGCAAATTGCTATTCACACTGTAGGAGAAGGGTAAAAAGCCCTTTGTGTCTCATCTTACAAAGCAGAAAGATGGTGAAGTGAACTATGGTGTTGGCAGGGCTTTTTTCAGAGGGAACTCACAGGAACTCAGTTCCAGCACCTCTCAGGTGGGCACCATTGCTACTCGTGAGAGAACAAGGGATGTGTTCATGGTAGAGTTGCCGTATTTTGAAGAGGAAAAAATAGGACATATTTGCTTACTTCTAGGTCACTATTGTCTACACTTACTGGCAGCAGCTCTCTAGGGTTTCTAGAAAAATAGCACTGGGAAGGAGAAAGTGTTGAAGCATGGAAGAGACCGGCCCAATTTAGCCACTGTTTCCAACCAGAATGTAAAAAACAAGCAAAACCAACCACCAGTTAACACCTATGATATTTAAAGACAGCAAGCGTGGCTGCAGCAAAATCAGATTATTCCGGCTGCCAGTTTCTAGTAGAAACTCAAGATGGACATACTTGCACTACTAAGGATGCCTGGTGATGTTTTTGCTTCGCTGTGAATTAAGTATGCATGTCATTTCCCAAGTATCTCTTCAAAAAAAATTGAGAATATAATTTTCAGACATCATAATCCACCCACAGTTAAGAATATCTAGGTTCCATTGATTTCTAAAATAAATGACTTACATCACTTTAGCTGGATAGTGCCCAAACCTCATTATTTTGAAAGCAAGAAAGGAGCAAAATAAATAAAAGTTTAATTTTTGAAACCTTGAGAACATTGAATCACAGAAACCTTTAGCAGCCTAAACTACAATTTTTTTAATAAATCAAGATATCAATTAAAAACATCAACACTTCTTGTGTCATTTGTATTTGATTTCTTCAATAAAACAGTCTGACTTTCTTTCATGCTGAAAATTCCAATTATACTTCATCTTTACTATCAAGGCCAAAAGAAATATCCACTGATGCAAATACCTGGTACAAAGAGAAACAGAACAACTTTCTTCACAGGCAGTAGGACAACAACATAAATACTCACCACTGGAGGTGGACAGAGTCATTACTGGAATTTCATCCCAAGGGTTTTCTAAGGAACCATCTGGGCTTTCAGATTCAGCTGCCAAAAAAAAGAGTGCAATCAATTGTTTCCCTGCAAATAGGCCTCTTAAAGGTGCAGGCGACCCTGAGGTCAGGTTAAAGCAATGGGAAAGAGCTCTGGACATTTAAACATTCTAGAAATTCTCTCTTCCAAGAAGGCAGCCGGTGTAACCAAAGTAGGACAGAACTACCCTCTCCCCTCCCAAGCTGTGTTAAGGTGGAGCATGGTCTGCCCTCAAAGTAAGTTCAAGATCATTCAAAATATCATCTACAGAGCAGGTTTTCAGAAATTAGTTTAGTGGAAAAATAAGAGCAGAGGTTCTGAAGTTACATCTACTAATGCTTATGGAATAGCTTTGAACCACATGCACAGCATTGTAGCTTTCAAGACTCCCTGGCCGCATGAGAGACTACTTTCAGCCATCCACGGTCACAAATGTTTTTCCCCTGTCAAATAACACCTATTAAAAAATTTCATGCTATACTGGAGAACTGCACATCTGTAGTTATCTATGTGCTCCTTAGTCCTTATAAGGTTTCATCCCAAAATCTAATAGCAAAGCAAGCCACCAGAAGTATCTGAGCCTACAGTAAATGGGTATGAAGCATGAATATTGTCAGGTTTTGAAGAGATTACAGAGCACATGGCTCTCAACCACCACTATCCAGACGTCATTAGATAGATTAAGAAGCATAAGCAAGTGAACTTGACATTTGTCAGCTTTCCTTGTAACTGAGTCAAGGGCACTTGCTGCAGCATTTCAAGGTCTCAGCAGATTTATTAGTTTGGTGAATAATAATAATAATAATAATAATAATAATAATAATAATATACCACCCTTCATCCAAGGATCACAGGATGGTTTACAGTATAAAAACACAAAAAATACCATAGTAACAAACAATAACTCCCTACACCCATTGCCCTGCCAACTACTGGCATGTGGCACCCAGAAGACTGCCCACTTGGGAATGCAATACTGAGGCAGAAAGAGGTTTCCACTCTTGGCTTACAAAGTTGGGCACCTAATGAAATTCAACTTCCTATGACTATTATTGAGATGCTGCTCAGTAGGAGCTTTGGATACAGACAAGCAACCATTATCTGTAAAACTACTGATTTCATAATACAGTGGTACCTCTGGTTACATACGCTTCAGGTTACATACGCTTCAGGTTACAGACTCCGTTAACCCAGAAATAGTGCTTCAGGTTAAGAACTTTGCTTCAGGATGAGAACAGAAATCGTGCTCCGGCGGCGCAGCAGCAGAAGGCCCCATTAGCTAAATTGGTGCTTCAGGTTAAGAACAGTTCCAGGTTAAGTATGGACCTCCGGAACGAATTAAGTACTTAACCTGAGGTACCACTGTAGTCTTCTAGACTTTGAGAGCTCAGTTGTGGACCAAGGTGTCTTTTAGATAATGTGATATCCCCTTAAGTAGAAAGCTGCACTTGTGTCAACAGAAAAGCCATACATCGCTTTTGTGGCCTTGCAGGCAGAGAGACAACTACTGCTACTCACCACTGAAAAAAGATACAGTACTTTGCTCATCATCTTGAGTACTCTCAAGAATAGCTTGAGAGGGCTCTGTAAGATAAAGGACAATCTGATTTTTAGCACGGACTCCCCGAAAGAGACATGTATTAGAACCAGCCATTAAAAAACTAACACCATCAGTAAAAAATTGGAATGAAAATCACCATAAATATCACAACAACCAAACCAAGAGGCAGAAGTAGCAAGCAAAAGCATTTTTCCATCCCCATTACACTTTACCCCTCCCCAAAGGGCTGGACGAAGAGGTGTCTTCACCTACCAAGGAAACAAGACTGTGAAAGACTAGGCAGCATTTTTCTTATCTCCGATCTTAACACTTTGACTAGTCTTTAAAATGAAGTAAGGAAGAAAAAGGCACCAGACACCAAAAGCTCTTACTTTCTCTTTAAAAGACAGCAGGCAGAGGTTTATATGTGATCTTAGTAATGTGAAACTTGGAACTTTGAATCACCTGACATCATAAGATGCCAGGGGATTGGTAGCCTGTCCCCCTGGCCTGTGGAGGGTGGGCCAGATTCAGTTCCTCTTATCTGACAAATGCACCACCTCAGCTCACAGCAGCCCTCACCCTTCATTCATAACAATCATTTTAATGGTAGCAAGATTATAAGAACTATGAGATTCTGTGCAAAAAAATAGCAGTGGTGGACAATAAAAACAGCCAGACCTTGCACTCTCCCTTCTACAGTAGCTTGGGTATTAAAATGTAGCTCCTGGTTGTGGTCACAGAATTCTCTGTTCACAAAACCTCAACCTTGGTGTCTCAAACATACTTAGGCTTTGTTAGTCCTTATAGATTGTCATTAAAATGATGGCATTTAGTTATGAAGTTCTAGGGACACTTGATATTCTGAAATAAACAGAACTGCTTCGTAATAAAGTAATGTGGCAAATTCATAGGCTAGAGCAAGAATGGGGAGCGCTCTGAATACTCAATTACAGTTCTCACAACCCCTAGCTATTGACCATGTTGCCTGGGGCTGATGGGCCCAACAGCATAAGGAAGGCTCCATCCTTAGCTAAGGTAATCTTTCACCCAGCACTCTGGCACTCACTTGGTAGGTAGGACTTGTGAAGTAATGCTTCATTTTCTGCACTGATCGTTAACAGCTTGGCTGGGATGGCAAAGACATTCTTGTGAACCTGAAATCAGAATTGTTACTCCACTTCTGCTTCCTTGCATAGCACAACAGATCCACGCAGACTCAGCCAATGCTTAACAGGCCAATAAATCTTACCAATTACATAATTGTCCAATAAAATAGAAAATAAGGGACCCTGGTGAGCAAATCTCAGCCATTTACAGCCAGTATGGAAATTCTACCAGATCCACTGATTTGAGAAATAAAAAAAACCATTCAACCATCACACCCACACACCCCATCCCTGTGATTTTCAGTTGAGATGTCACAGGCAGAACAGAGAACAGACCTTATCTTGCTTGCGTTCCACCTGCCATTTGGTGTCAGGATATACAGCCAACTGCTCAGAATCCAACAGCTTGCTGGGGTTCAATAAACTGAGACAATCCTTGGCATTTTCTTTTAAAGTACTGAGTCGATCCTGCTTTATCTCCTGCAGTACTTCAGAAACAGATGATGGCTCTTTACAGGAAAAGGAAATGTGCACAGTAAAATAGGGTGTTAGCTTTGGAACAAGAGTCCCATAACATTTCGTATTAGAGCTAAATGAAAATGAAACAGATGCCTACAACACTAGGCCAATTTTAAAAGTTAGTCAGAAATATGCTTGCATCAGTCTTTTTGTAATTTGATCCAAGGTAAACATATTCTGGCAATAACAAGGTGAAAATTTCTGCTGTCAGCAAAACACATAAATCAGGATGTAATCTTGCTATCTAAAAGCAGATTACAAAATGTTTGTCCTCTGCTGTAAGTGGCCCAGATGCACCGTTGTCCACTGACAAGGGATTTTGTTTAGTGGAATCCACCTCTTTTGTTGAATGTATACTCATCTGGCTAAAACAGTTTTACCCATTCTTAGAACTGTAATGTTTTTATTTATTTTACAATTGTGTATTATATTGTTGTAACCTGCCCTGGGATCTGGTAAAGGGCAAGAAAGAAATCTTAGGAATAAATAAATCAAAGTGACACAGAGCTATGCAATGCAAACACCCATCAATTCTCTGTTAAGGCAATAAGGGACAGAAAAACCACTTACAGTAAGCCTGAAACTTACACTCACTTTACTTATGCAATCACAACCTTATGCAGGTGACCAAAAAATAAACAAATAAACAAATAAATCAGAAAACCACAGGAAAAATAGGGTTAAATCAAAATGTGGTAGAGAAACAACAGTTGCCAATCCCATCTGCCATTGCTGTCACCTGGGAGAGTGTTTGGGCACCTTCAGAGAATCAGAGTGAGAAAGGGTCTAGCAATTGCATGGAGAGCAAGGGGAAAGTGACCTGAAAGTGAGCAAAAGTCATCTGGAATGTGTGGGGAAGGTTGACTGAGCAAGTGGGGGTGGTCTGAGAATGATGGGAGTTGATCTGAAAGTGGTCCGGAAGCAAGGGGAAGAGGTTTTTTAAACTTGTTTTTTTTATGGCTTCTTACAGGTCTTCCTGGCTTTATGTGTTTTGTCATTTATGTGCAGTTCCACATAGGTTGCGGGCTTGGAGTACTGCATGATGCAAGTATGAAATGGAGACTTAATTAATCTTATACCAACCAGCCCCTTCTATTAGGTTACACTAGGATTTCCCTTTAGAAACGTCCAATGCTCACTATACAATACCTGAGCTGGACCAGGGCTGGAGAGCAAGGCTTTTCCTGAAAGACACAAACAAAATAGAACCTAGAGTTAAGAATGGCAATGGGTTTGCAAAACCTTCAAACAACCTCCTTTTTATGTCTGAATCAAATTTTGCTGTTAATTGATTTTATCTGACCCAGTTTGATCCACTCTAAGGATGACATTTTAGCACATCCCTATCCCAAAACGCGGGTGGCGCTGTGGGTAAAAGCCTCAGCGCCTAGGGCTTGCCGATCGAAAGGTCGGTGGTTCGAATCCCCGCGGTGGGGTGCGCTCCCGTTGTTTGGTCCCAGCGCCTGCCAACCTAGCAGTTCGAAAGCACCCCCGGGTACAAGTAGATAAATAGGGACCGCTTTATAGCGGGAAGGTAAACGGCGTTCCGTGTGCGGCTCTGGCTCGCCGGAGCAGCGATGTCACGCTGGCCACGTGACCCGGAAGTGTCTCTGGACAGCGCTGGCCCCCGGCCTCTTGAGTGAGATGGGCGCACAACCCTAGAGTCTGTCAAGACTGGCCCGTACGGGCAGGGGTACCTTTACCTTTTATCCCAAAATACTTGTTATGACATCTTAGAAATGGCTAGTACAGTAAATCCTTCCTTCTTTCTGAACAGCTCATTCTTTCTCTACTTCTGGATTGATTACAAGAAAGTAAATATCTCAGTTAAGGGACTATTAGCTTCCTAATAATTTTCCTTACAAACATGTTCTACTGCAAAATTTGGCATTTGAAACAAGAGAAAGAAAAACTAATGTGTGGACTATGGACGATTCCTATATAGTAGAGTCTATATCATCATCTAGTGAAAAGTTATTGTCTGTACATACAGAACTATCGATCAATTCCAGTAATATATCTTGCTGTTCATTGCACTATCCTTCCTCCAAGGAGTTCAGAGTGGTGTCCATGTTATCTTCACAATAGCCCTTTCTGTACTGAGAACCTGAAGTTTTGAGCTCTGACTGTTCTAAAACAAAAACCTTACTAATATGTGCAAAACAGAACCTGAAACGTGTTTTGGTAAGCCACATAGAATATTTCCACTGCTATCTTAAGCTAACTCACATATTAAGCATGAAGAAACAACTGTTGGACCATGTACTTACTGCCACAGTTCCTTTATCTTCTCCAGTACTGAGGGCTCCCGGTTGCTATAAAAAGATGACATCTTAGCATTCCCAGCTTTTCACCATAGTCCAAAGCTACCACTTAAGCTTCTCAGAGCAGAAGAACAAATGGATTAAAGAATGGATTTCGAAACCTGACCGATCATATGAAAAATTACAGAATACTCTTAGTTTCTGAATATGGTAGATCCCAAGCCCATCAAAAGTTACCAAAGCCACTTGGAGAATTATTATTATTTTCATTTTTAAAAACAACCAATTTGCAGCTTCAATTTCCAGTAACAAAAACATCACTAAGTAGCAATTCTCTCAAAAATGAATGGCTGCCTCCAGGGTACACTGCCTGTCATCTTTCCAAATCCCCATCTTTGACAATTTGAGAAAGCTGCAGCACTGAACTAAAAGAGGTAAGGGCCTAACTACACAGGACGCTAATGAAAACATTCCCCCCAAATATAAATTGGTATGCAGCAGAGGCTATTTTCATTTAAATTGTGGCTGGAGGTAGAAGATTTGAACCTTCCCACACCATACACCTCACCATACCTGGAGTTTCTGAGATAAAACCATACATGAACCTCTGTGTTGGCACTTAAATTTTTAAAAGCCACAATATGATTGCTAACCACCTCATTCACATCACAGGTAGTAAGGCTCTAACAAAATAAGACTGTTGGGGAAGGACACATACCAATTCATTCTGCTCAGTTTAATTTACCGAGCTTAAGTACAATGTGATGCAAATTCAAGCAGACTCATATAAAGACTCATCTAAGCGTTTTCTAGCCAACCTTCTTCCATGCAAATTCACACATCAAACCCATAACAAAGCTCAGAGAAAGTCTCACCAGTCTTGCTGCCTCCGTTCCCTCCGCTTCATGGGCATCACTCGGAAACAATCAAGTACAAGGTAAAATCGACAATCCTCCTGAAAGTGAAGGAAAGGCAGAATTAGGTATGTTGTACCTGGATGAGTATTCAGTCCAACATAAGGCAACACATGTTCCCAAATTTGATTGAATTATTGCTTGAATGCAGAGGTGCCAAGTTGCCCCCAAGACTGAGGGGGCCCAGTGTGCATCATGTGTGACGTTGCACCATCTAGAGGAGGTTGAGCGCTTTGGCCACTGAAGCTGCGACACATGATGCACAATGCATGTGACATGCATGCATGATGCACACTGGGGCCCCTCAACATCAAGGGGAACCAGCCCCTTTCCAACAAAGACTGAGGGGGCCAAAGACACATAAACCCCCTAGAGTTAGCACACCTGTTTGAATGATATGCAGGGAGCGGTGGGAGGTGGAGAGAACAGATAGCAGGGCCCTTAACAAAATCCAAAAGCCCCCTTCTTGGCTTTCCCTAAATTTAATCATATTATGCTCCCACAGCATAATACAGAATGAGAGATGATAGGAAAAGAAGACAGCCTTCAGTCCATTAATATTAATTAGCGTAAGATTTGTAGGGAAGGGGGAGAATTACAAAATGCAAATGTCTCCTTGCTCTCTCCAGCCAACATAGGCTTGCTTCAGGACAATGTAACTGTCCATGTGAGCTGCTCAAGACCAACCTGTGTCCCATATAAGCTGTGCCAACAAAATACCACTTGGGACAATAAAGAATCCTTCACATGTTAGCTTTGCCCCTCAGGTTCATGGGGTAAATGTGGCCTTTTCACAAGAAACTTAGGCGAGAAAAATCTACCCACAAAATGGTAACGATAAGTAAATAAATAATGAGTTCCCTGTTATTAAGATAAAGACTTGCCTTTCCTTTAACAAGTATCATTTAAGTTTTCAATAATCTCATGAGGTGGGTTAGGCTGAAATATAGTGACATGTTCAACACCATCTTCAGGTCCAGCATTTAAAACTTTGAAAATAAATTGCAGTCACAGAAAAACAAAACAAAAAAACACCATCTTCAGGGCCAGAGGGAGATTGGAAACTTATGCTTCACTACAACCACCCCCATTTTCAGGATGTAACTACTCACAAACTCACCTTAAGAGAGTGTGCTTTCCCAAGACTATAATGCTGTATCAATTTTTTAAAAGGAGGTGGGAGAAGTCACCTCACAATGATACTTCTTCTGCCTTAATATGATTAAATTTAGGGAAAGCCAAGAAGGGGGCTTTTGGATTTTGTTAAGGGCCCTGCTATCTGTTCTCTCCACCAAACTCAAATCAGACAAAGGTTTGTGCCAGACAGCCTTCTGTGTCAGGAGAAAAGTCAACCAACTCAAGAGTCACACCCTGACTATTATCCTAGCAGAACTTCTGAGGAGCAGATGAACCCTAATACCACAGATAAAATACAAGCCAACCTGTGGAGGCTGGCTGAGGCCTTCACATGTTTTCCCGCCAATTTATGTGAGGCAATGCAGCTGCACCTGATTCTAAGTACCGTATTTACTGGAATGTAATGTGCACATTTTTTTGCAAAATTAAGGTGCACATTTGATTTGATGGCGCATTTTCAATCGCCAGCAAATACTTTTTTGGTTTCAAGGTTTTGAAAATTGAGGTGCACATTAGATTTTGGTGGTGTATTAGATTCTTGTAAATATGACTACTTCTTTCTAAAGCACCTGCTTTCTAGGCTCATAATAGAACCTGAGGTGATGTCAACGACATTTTTGTTCATCATAGGTCGGGTCAGAGGAAACAAAGGCAATTTTGGTAAAGAAAACTGAGGCTGCAAGCCAATTACTGTACATAGATTTTAACTGATTAATGGTAGGTGTTTCATTTTATTTATTTATTATTTTATTACACAACATACAAATGCACTATACACAAAATACATAATAAAAATAACAACCAAACCCTGCCCACCCACAAACCAATATCCCTCACCCCCCCCACCAGCTCCCACAAACACATTTAAAAGAGAGTATAAGATGTTAATCAGCCCAAGGTCTGGTTGAAGAGGAGCGTTTTCACCTGGTGCCTAAAGGGGTGTAATGAAGGTGCCAGCTGAAACCTCCCTAGGCAGAGCATCCCACAAATGGGGAGCCACTGCAAAAAAGGCCCCATTCTTGTGTTGCCACCCTCCAGACCTCTGGTTGGGGAGGCACACAAAGAAAGATGAGGATCACAGAATCCAGGTTGGTTTATATGGGGAGAGGCAGTCCTTGAGGTACTGTGGTCCTGAGCCATTTAAGGCTTTATAGGTCAAAACCACCACTTTGAATTGGGAAGGAAACTAATTGGCAGCCAGTTCAGTTGGGCCAGAATCAGTCTTCCTCTGGTGAGCAAGCTGGCCAACAAATTCTGCAAATTTTACTGATCGCCAGTAAAGAAAATAAAGTGAATTAATTCCAACAAAGATGGCAAAAGATGCTAGAAATGAACATCACTGAAGAAATATGGGGAAATACCATATTTTTCCATGTATAAGACACCCCCATGTATAAGATGACCCCTATTTTTTAAACCCAAAAGTAAGAAATTAAGTTGTTTAGCTTTTTAGTGAGGTGGGGGAAGTCACTTCCACCAATCGCCCACCCACCTGCCCGCCACTGTCAATCGCACAACACAGCCACTGCCGATCGCACCTCACCGCAGTCGCCAATTGTCTGCCGCTTGCCACCACCAACAGCCCACCCGCCCACTTGCTGCAGCCGCCAATCGCCTGCCTCACCACAGCCACCAATCGCCTGCCCAATTGCCACAGCCACAGCCAATCACCGTCAAGTCTTGCCGCAGCCACCAATCGCCCACCGAATTGCCACTGCCAATCTCCTGCTTGCTACTGCCATTAATCGCACATCCCACCTCTGCATTCACTATCCATGTATAAGACGACACCCAATTTTTGCCTTTTTTTAAAAGCAAAAAAGCATAGTCTTATATACAGGAAAATACGGTAAATTCTCTAATAATTTGATATCCTGCAGGCCCAGCTTCCTATTACCTCAGTGGCATAATCCCATGGTAGGCAGCACACTTTCCTAAAACCAACAGTCCTTTAGAGGCATCTGGGTGAATGCATGTGAGCTAAAACTGTGGTGTGAGAATACACACAAGCCGTAAGGCTTCAGTGTCTCTGTGCTCACTGGTTGCACGCCTGACCTTTGTGCACTGAGTGCAAAGATTCTAGTCACGTTCAGTTTTAAATGGTTAGACTCCTTCCCACCGTAAGAAACTCAGTATAATCGCAATCTTGACTGCCCGGGTTCAGCTTAGCATGGTTAGGACTTACCTGTAGATAACTGGGAGAGGGTGGCAATGCAGTTTTTTACGGATTGGGTTTTTTATGTTTTTAGATACAGTGGTGCCCCGCAAGACGAATGCCTTGCAAGACGGAAAACCCGCTAGACGAAAGGGTTTTCCGTTTTGGAGGTGCTTCGCAAAACGAATTTCCTATGGGCTTGCTTCGCAAGACAAAAATGTCTTGCGAGTTCCTGCAGGGTTTTTTTCCTCCCCCCCCCCTTTTCCCCAAGCCGCTAAGCCGCTAATCAGCTGATCCGCTAAGCCCGCTAAGCTGCTAATAGCGCTAAGCCGCTAATGGGCTTGCTTCGCAAGACGAAAAAAACGCAAGACGAAGAGACTCGCGGAACGGATTCTTTTTGTCTTGCGAGGCACCACTGTATGTTGTAACCCACCCAGAGTGGCTGGGGAAACCCAGCCAGATGGGTGGGGTATAAACAATAATAAATTAAATAATAAATAATAAATATTCATGTGCCTTACCACTTTAGCTTCTTCTTTAAAACAAACCCTAAAATTCTGCAGGACGATGAACTGGCCAACAATACTGGAAAATCCAGACTGGAGTAGAGCACTAAAAAAAAGAAAGAAAGAAACATGTATTGCCTCTCGTGATAGCCATGCCCAATAGTTTGCCACATTGTCTAAAAGGCTGCAATTCCATGCAAAATTTGGAAGAATCCATTCATTTCCTCAGAATACTAAAACTTTCAGCTTCCGTTGTTAAAAAAGGGAAATCCAAAAACAAAGACTGTAGATAACAGCAAACATATGTTTCGAGAATATATTTATTTTTAAATACCGTATTTTTCGTCCCATAGGACGCTCCGTCCCATAGGACGCACTTAGTTTTTTGGGCGGAAAATAAAGGGGGGGGATTTCCTTTATTTCCCCCCCAAAAGCAGGTCGGGGAAACCGAACCAGGTCGAGGAACAGCGGGATGGCAGCGCTGCGCCTCCCTGCTGTCCCCCGAGCTTGTGGGGCTGGCCGATGTCTGCCCAGCGCGAGGGGCGTTCTGCTTCAGGGCGCCCCACCCACCGGGCAGCAGGCTGCTATCCGCAGCGTGAGGAGCCCTGCGGGGAACTCCTGCAGGGCTCCCCACGCTGCGGATGTCTGTCCGGCACGCGGGGCACTCTGCTTCAGGGCGTTCCGCCTGCCGGGCGGCAGGCTGCTATCCGCAGCGTGGGGAGCCCTGCGGGGAACTCCTGCAGGGCTCCCCACACTGCGGATGTATGCCCGGCGCAAGGGGCGCTCAGCTTCAGGGTGCGTTGTGCGCCGGGCGGCAGGCTGCTATCCGCAGCATGGGGAGCCCTGCGGGGAACTCCCACAGGGCTGCCTAGGCTGCGGAGGTGTTCCTTTCAGGGCGCCCGACGCTCCGGGAAGCAGGCTGCTATCTGCAGCGTGGGGAGCCCTGCGGGGCTCTCTGCGAGGGGTGCTCTGCTTCAGGGCGCCCCGCCCGCTGGGCGGCAGGCTGCTATCCACAGCGTGGGGAGCCCTGCGGGGACCTCCCGCAGGGCTGCCTAGGCTGTGGAGGTGTTCCCGAAGCGCCGGGCGCTCTGCTTTCAGGGCGCCCGACGCTCCGGGAAGCAGGCTGCTATCCGCAGCCTAGACAGCCCTGCGGGACCCCCTGCAGCGCTGCCTAGGCTGTGGATATGTTCCCGAAGTGCCAGGCGCTCTGCTTTCAGGGCGCCCGACGGTCCGGGAAGCAGGCTGCTATCCGCAGCCTAGACATCCCTGCGGGACCTCCCGCAGGGATGCCTAGGCTGCGGTTGTGTTCCCGAAGCGCCGGGTGCTCTGCTTTCAGTGCGCCCAGTGCTCCGGGAAGCAGGCTACTATCCGCAGCCTAGACAGCCCTGCGGGAGGGCTGCCTAGGCTGCGGATGTCTTCCTGAAGCCTGGAGAGCGAGAGGGGTCGGTGCGCACCGACCCCTCTTGCTCTCCAAGCTTCAGCGAAAGCCTGCATTCGCCCCATAGGACGCACCCAGATTTCCCCTTCATTTTTGGAGGGGGAAAAGTGCGTCCTATAGGGCGAAAAATACGGTACTTGTACATCATCATTCAAAGGCTGCAGGTAGTTTACATCAAAATACAGTAAAATAATATAATCATGCAAGTAGTGTGCTTGTGTGCTCTGTGTGACCCAGATTATGTAGTCCTTACTTTCCTTTAGCTAGGAACACATATTGCTCATCACTCACCCATATGTCGCTCCCTCCTCACACTACATTGCTCAGGTTGGGAGGATCTTTCAAGTTCTACAAAAGCCCATGTGGAAAGTGCAGAATGAAGTTTGCCAACAGTGTGCAAATGCAAATGTGCACATATTGGTTTGCAAAAATTATTATAAGAACAGAACTTACACTGTCTCAGAGTGAATAGAGTAATTATGTATGCAGGACCTAAAATATTATGGAATTTACTCTTCCATGCTACATACTCTGCAAATAGAAATTAACAGGGCTTTCTCGGCTGCGGCTCCAATCTGGTGGAACGCTCTGTCACAAGAGACTAGGGCCCTGCAGGACCTGACATCTTTCCGCAGGGCCTGCAAGACAGAGCTGTTCCACCAGGCCTTTGATCAGGGCGCAGCCTGGCCCCCTCCTCTGGCAATCTGCACAGAATGTTGCTTAATGGTTGCCATTAATTTGATTTTAATTAATTTTAGAATGAATGTTTTTAGAATGTTGGATTATTTTGATTGTTGTTAGCCGCCCTGAGCCCAGCTTCGGCTGTGGAGGGCAGGATATAAATAAAAAATTATTTATTATTATTATTATAACAACTGGTTGTCTACCATAGGCTCTCTTGTGTGTCTTAAAAAGTGAAGAATGCATGAGAGGTCTAAAGTTAATTTTTAAAATGGCATTCTTGCGTTATGAGACTTCTAGTAGATTTTGTAGCACAGAATTTTAGATTGCTTGGCACAGAATGGTATGCAGACTGCATAAATGTTTCATAAAATTTATACACCACACAATTCCAAGAAAAAGCCTTAAAGTGGTTTAAAACCCCAAAGCAGTAATAAAAATGAAAAACACAAGGAACCATAACAAGGTTCTCTAACCAAAGCAAGGTGCTCTGTAGATAAAACCAGGAAAGTCACCACTACCTAAGCCTCTCAGAAATCTATTGCAGCAAGGCCCATGGCAGTGTTAATTTAAAAGCTAGCTAACCTAAGGATTAGCTACTGATCAGGACTGACAGAGGATACAGCTTTATGCCTTAAGCCTCTGGTTTGTGGAAGCTATGATGGGACAAGGGAAAAGTGGGAGTGTGTGCTGATTCACACAGTAGCCGTTCAACCTGGGGGGGGGGGGGAGAGAGAAAGAATCTTGCACAATTTAGTGAAAGAATCCAGTTACTTGGGCCACCAAAGAGATGTTGCTTTAACACTGGACGATGAAGTCACTGACCTCCATAAAACAACTGATTAGTGATTTGAACTGGCAATGTATCCACATCACCACAACGAAGAGAAGTATGAGACCATTTTAATTAGTTTTTCTTAAGAATTATGCATTGTAGTGGGCCACTTAGTATAAAATAATTATCTTCAAAATTCATATCATTAAAACACTGTAATCAATCTCCCCAAAGTCTCCCTTGCTTATTTTAATGTTTTATTTTTTGTTTGAATATTATTTTAATTTTAGACTAGTCTGTTTGCTTTTAAAGGCTGTGTGACAGGCCCTCAAAACATATCCATTTTTCTTAAGTGCTTGCCACAAGCTCAGCAAGATAGAAACAAGGGTGGAGAGCAGCTTGGAACCACCAATATTTATTGGTACTCTATCAAGTTCCCTATAATAGGCTGTTTACCCAAACACCAATTTCACCCTGGCAAATTTGACCTGGGAGACCTGGGTTAAAATCCCCTCTCACCCAGGAAGCTCACTGGACAACATTGGGCCACTCACTGTCTCTCAGACTAAGGTACCTCACAGGGTTGTTCAGAGGATAAAATGTAGAGTGAGGAGAACTATGTACACCACCTTAAGCCTATTGACGGAAAGCTGAGATATAAATGTAGTTCATACATAAAGTGTAAAAATTACCATTTTGTCATCTGAACAGCTTTGGCTGTAACATCCACTTGGATATAATGATGCCCATCTGCGACGCACAGAATAGCTGCTGGAAGCTGCTCATCATGATCTAGAGCCTTTGTTTCATTTAGAACCTAGCAATAAATTGGGAGATAAGGCAGGAAAAGAAGTCAGGTATTTCCCACACCTATTAAAAATAGGGACCAAGCCACTCTAGAGTCTTTCATTCATTTTTGTGGGGAGCGGGGGCAGGATGAGTAAGATATGGAGACCCACAAAGTTTTGAAAGCCACAGTATGGCAATTTAGATCTGCATATGAGAAAAAAGCAATAGTTGTGGGAGCAGGGGACTTCCCATTTTTCAGAGGATGAATACTCCTGTTGCAACAGGAATCATCTTAAAAAGATCAGTCTCCTAACAAGAAGAAAAACTCTCTTCTAAGCTGGTATGTGCTGACTTCCAATCTTTACAAGTACTTGTATTAAAAGACAAAATGGTGGGGAGGGGGAGGCTTCAATCTGCTTCCCAACTAAACAGGGGCACCATTTTAGTGAATCAAACTATTGTAATTAATCTAACTGATCAACCAACTTAAACATTGCAGCTCCGGCTATAAGGCACATAGGCTGCAAACCTATCCTCATTTATCTGGGGGTAAGCTCCATTGAACACAGAGGGACTTGCTTCTGAGCAAGCATGCATGAGATTGCTCTAATATAAAGGAACTCTTATGCTCAAGCAAAAGGTCTCCTCTGGATTCAGAAGGCAGAACATAGCCACTGCCTCAGGAGAAGCAGAAGCATCAATTATGTCCACATTAATGTGGTGTAAGAGTGTTGAATCAGGACATGGGACACGCAGGTTCAAATCCCCACTCTGCTATGAAGCTTTCTGCCAGTCTCTCTCTCTCTCTCTCTCTCTCTCTGCCTAATGAACCTCAGAGCAGAACCACTCAAAGTGGTGGTCCATGGACTGGGGGAGGTCTGTGAACCATTAGCTATTGGTCCATGGTAACTTCACCACAGCCCAAGTTGGGTTGGACACTTCAAGATAGCTTGAGAAGCACCGCCTCACAAGGTTGTTGTAAAGAGAAAAGTGAGGGTGGAGACATTGTTCTAAGCTCCTTAGAGGAAGGGGAGTATGGAATTTTATTTTATTTTAAAAATTAAGAGTTCCCCATTCATCACTGCTCAAAAAGTCACATGAATATACCCTCAGGACATGCCCAAGTTGACCCTCTTCTCTGGATTCAGAATCCTTGTACTCCAGGAGAAGATTCACGATCCAAGGTTCCAAGTAGCAGGGCCTGTTTGTCTGGCTATCTTCATTGTCTAAACTGGGAAAAAAAGTAATTAAAATTACTAAGGCATGGGAAAATGTGCAAAAGTGGCATGGCAAAAAATGTTGCTTGATGGTATCACACTAAATATCTTCCAGATTGCTATACCATTAAAACCCATTGTGCATTTATTCATCATTTAGAAAAGAGAAAAACACAGAGAATGTTTGAGACAACATGAGCCATGTTACTCTGGAGAATGCTTCATATGCCCTTCCATATGTATGTAGGTACACAGCCAATCCATGTTCAGCCATCTTAATGGGACTACTAGGACCTTAACACCTTCATATTCAATGACCTCATCTTCTCATGTAACCATCAGTATAGTAACCATCAGTATAGTAAACAATTTGCAAGTTGGTATACAGAAAGTTCATCCAAGAAGCTCTTCATTTTAACTAAAACACTATTCTTATTTGATCAGAAACATGTACAGTGGAACCTCATGTTACGTACCGTCCTCCTTGCGAACGCTGTGGGTTACAAGCGCCGCTAACCCAAAAGTAGGTCCCCTTGTTGCGAACTTTGCCCCGGGATGCGAGTGGAAGTTGTGCGCCGGTAGCACGGCAGCAGCAGGAGGCAACATTAGTGAAAGCGCGCCTCATGTTACGAGCAGTTTTGGGTTGCAAACGGACTTCCAGAACGGATTAAGTTTGTAACCGGAGGTACCACTGTATTCTAAGCCAGGTGCAGTGTGGTACAAAATTAGGTGTTTTGAGGAATAAGTTATGAGCATCATATAATTTTTATTTTAAAAAACACCCTTGATTGCAAAATTTACTCCTGTCGCACATCACTCTATTTTCAGATACTTTTGCCAGAAATCTGGAGGGCTAGAAACTTGCAATATAAATATAAGTGTTGCAGAATTCTGTATTAGAGTCCAGATTTAGAGCAAAACTGGGGTGCAGGCAAGCAGTTCCTTAGAACAGAAGATCTTCCTTCCTGATACAGTTTCACCCATCAGTATCACTCCTTTCTCTTTTCTATTGAGATTCCCAGATTGCACTATGGGATTAGGAAGGGGTTTGCATTCACCCAATACCAACATAAAAAGCTTGCACAGACATGCCCACAAGGTCACTCACAGGGTAATCCAAGTGGTCTTTATCATGCTGGTGAATAGCATAAGGTTACTAGATTTTTTTCAATGAATCTGGGGACACTTCACTCTGAAATGAGTCAGAATGATAGGATTTTGTCAGGGGACTGATTTGTAAATCTGGGGACTGTCCCCGGGAAACGGGGGTGTCTGGTAACCTTAGAATAGCAGCCTAATGCAGATATGAAAGGAATATACAGGGCTGGTCGTTGCTGGTCCAAGAAGAACTTACAATTTTGGACACTCAATGCAGAGCTACTATAAATGTGGGTTGCAAAAACAGCAGACTCTCATTAAATCTAAAAGTAAAACCTGTATTGACAGAACACTTTCTCAGACATAAGGCAAATTCAGACTAAATTGAGTGGGAGAATCATTCTACAACCTATTTTATTCCCTGGTAAGAGGAAAAATATAGAGATAGGTGAACTATTACTATTTATTTATTTAATTTATATACAATAGCTTTAGGTATGGGTTTTACACACGTATTTTATGCCTGGCAGATAGGACTGGTTATATTACTTGGAAGGAAGCCCCAGCCCATCGAGATGCACGTGAAACTTCCATAGAGTAAAACCCTGCCCACACTTACATAGAAGCTAAGCCTCACTGCAATCGTTCGGGACTCGCAGCGCAATAAGCCTACATAGTACGGTGAATGGATAGCATTTGCGCTGGAAGTGCATCCAAGTGGTCCAAAGCAAAAGATGCCGTGCGCGCCTCTGTACAGCAACGGAAAACTAATGTCCCGAGGTGGGAGGGCTGCTTCGGAAAATCAATATCCTACAGCGAGTAAAAGTCCGATTAAAAGGGAATTACGAAGCACTCAAGAGCTTCGCCACCTGCCAGCTTATTCCGCGCGGCCTCTGCCTGTCTGCTACACCAACGACAGGATCTGCAAACTTACCCCGTGGGCTTTGAGTCCCGCAGAGACCTCCGCTCCCGATTCATAGGGGCAGCTGCCGAAGACCCGTGTCAAAGCGACCTGCCCCTTTCTCTGGACAGGAGCGAGGCCTCATTCCCGCTCCGCCAGCTGGACTCCTCCTCCCAGCGACTTCCCAACGCGACCCGAGCTAGGTGGGCTGGCCGGAGGACGGGAGGGGCAGGCACGGACGGCCCCTTGGCGTCTCGCCCTCCCCTCCCGAGCTTCCCTTGCAGCGCCTGCAAAGCAGGAAGAGGAAGCGACGTTGGCGCGGGCTTTCCGTTGTGCAAAGTAAACAGCTCGGTCAGCTCAAGATGTCGGACGCCGAGGCGGGCAGATCCGCGCAAAGAGACATCCTTTCCCCCCCAGTTTCCTGAGCCTTGCCAACTGGCCCAAACTGTGCTGGCTTGAAGCAAGCTCTGCAGTGCACTCAACTGCTCTGTGAACATTTTCATCTGAAGGCAGGATAAAAATGTTTACAATGAATAATAATAAATAATACCTTACTATATTTTCCGCACTTCCCTTTTCATTTCCCCAGGCCTTTAAAATTATATTATTGCTTTATGCTGTTGTAGCTGTCTGGATTTTACTCTTCTGTCCTCAGTTTAAATTGTTTTGCACAGTCACTTTTCCTCTGTTGTATAGTGATTGGTGGTTTTATAATTGTATAGCACTTTATTTTTTTTTTGAAATTTTGTTTAATTCTGAAGAATGTTGATTATACCGCAGCCTGTAAAGTGTATGTATGTAATACACATTTCCCTCACATTTATCTAGCTGTAATCATTACAACGTCTTTGTAAGGTTGGTCAGTATTATTACCTACCTACAACTGTAAGAGGCTCAGAGAGTGTGGCGACTGAATTCTGGCTAATGCATTGGAGTGATGGTTTCATTCAAACCAGGAACTATTGTGGATGATTATAACAATTCCAAAATTAGTGGGTTTTTAATTACATGTAGGAGCATTAGTAGATGGAGAAGTATTCTTTATGCAATATCACCATCTGTTGGATCCTGCAGGAAACGCAGAGGCCCATTAACAGTGAAATCCTATTCCCATCTTTTCAGAAGTACCGTAAGTTGTATTAAGTAGGATTTTCTCCCAGATAAATGACTCTAGTATTTTAGGCTGCAGGGCTATAATTAGGTCACATCCTACAGCAGTGCACAGAAAACCAGGTGGGGTGCAGAGGCTTCACACCTGTGCAAGCGTGCTCAGGTGTTAAATATGCACACAACTATCAATGCCCTGTTAGCCGTGCCAGAATGGGGGGTCAGGTACCCCCCATCAGCCATGCATATCCAGGAACAGTGCATGTGTAGCTGTGGGTGAAGTGCACTGTTAACATATGCCCTGCTCCTGGTGGCCTTGTTAAAAGGTACCCCTGACCATTAGATCCAGTCGTGGCCGACTGGGGTTGCAGTGCTCATCTCGCTTTATTGGCTGAGGGAGCTGGCGAACAGCTTCTGGGTCATGTGGCCAGCACGACTAAGCTGCTTCTGGCGAACCAGAGCAGTGCACGGAAACACCGTTTACCTTCCCGCTGGAGTGGTACCTGTTTATCTACTTGCACTTTGACGTGTTTTCAAACTGGTAGATTGGCTGGAGCAGGGACCGAGCAACCGGAGCTCACCCCGTCTCAGGGATTCAAACCACCGACCTTCTTATCAGCAAGTTCTAGGCTCTGTGGTTTAACCCACAGCGCCACCCGTGTCCCTGGTGGCCTTGTTAGGTGTGAGCTTAAGCACCAGGTGGCAGGATGGAGCCCAAGGGCCTCCACTCCCACGAATCCAATGACACAGTCATGTTGCTTAAACCATAGAGGTAGAACGGATCTCAGAGGTCATTTAGTCCAACCAACTATTCTCAAGGCAGGAGCTTCAATCATGTCTCGACTTATAGCCATATAATATAGCCTCTGTTTAAATACCTCCAGTGAAGGACAGTTTGTTTCACTGTCAGCCAGTTCTTACCATCGGAGAGTTTCTGCAATGCAGGGATGGGGAACCTGTGGTCCTTGACTCCCCTAGCCCCAGACATCATGGCCAATGGACAGGAATGGTGGGTGTTGTAATCCAGCAATACCTGATTGATTTGTTGTCATGCTATGCCGATTTTAATTCAAATGAATCCCAAAGCGGCTTACAAACAATAAATAACATAATAACAAACTCAGCATAAATAATACAAAATACCATATTTTTCCATGTGTAAGACTAGGTTTCCCCCCTAAAAAATAATGTCAAAAAATTAGGGGGACATTTTATACACGGATATGTCTCCCCTCATTTTCTTAAATCTGAGTCCCCCAAAATAGGGGGTGTCTTTTACATGGGGTCGTCTTAAAGACAGAAAAATACGGTAATTAACAAATCACAAATAAAACAATTATAATAGCAATATAGCCTTGCTTGCCAGAGCAGCCTTTCCAAATGTGGTGCCCGCAAAGTATTTTGGGCCTCTATTCCCTGCGTCTCTGTTATTATTGGCTATGCTGGTTGGGGCTGATGAGAGGGTACCAGCTTAGAGAAAGGTGTTATTGAGCTACAGAGAACATCTGCCCAATTCCTGCATAAGCATCATTAAGATATTTGAAGACTGCTATCATGTCTCCCAGCCATTTCAACCATAAAGTTCCTCAGAGGACTTGGTTTCCTGACCCCTCACCTTCCTGATCTTTCTCCTCTGGACACTTTCCAGTTTGTCAGTGTCCTCCTTAAAAGTGTGGCTCCCAGTCCTAGTACTGAACACAGAGTTTGAGATGCCACCTGAGCAGTGCAGAATTAGGTTTGTTGCACCTCTCTGGGATTTTCTAAATTTAGAGTGGTAAACAAACCTTCAAGTAGTCTGAAGGTTATTTGAAAACTTGTCTTTGTGCTAGTCTGAATATGCCCTGAACTCTTGCCTGCAACATAAAAAGGTAAAGGTAAAGGACCTCTGACAGTTAAGTCCAGTTGTGAATGACTCTGGGGTTGCGGCACTCGTCTTGCTTTACTGGCCGAGGAAGCCAATGTTGGTCTGCAGACAGTTTTTCTGGGTCATGTGGCCAGCATAACTAAGCTGCTTCTGGCGAAACCAGAGCAGCGCATGGAAACGCCATTAACCTTCCTGCTGGAGTGGTACCTATTTGTCTACTTGCACTTTGACATGCTTTCAAACAGCTAAGTTGGCAGCAACATGTTGCCTGCAACATAGTAAACAGTAAAATAAAGAACCTCAGGTCATGCTGTTAGGTAATAGATCTATGGAACAGAATGGAAAGATTTCAACTCTTACTGGTCTCAGAAAGTTTTAAGAAGTTTTCAGAAGTTGTGGGGGTGCCACTCAGAAAATGGCTGCCATGGAGGGAATGTGGCATAACACAAAATGGCTGCCATGGGAAGTGTGGCTTAACAGTATTAGAGACAACCACCCCCTGACCACTTTATGCTTACCCATAGGAAATCAGCTATGTCCTACTGGTGCTGATTATGGAGTTCACACGCATGCTGCTACTGTCAAATAAGAACAGGGAGTACCAGAAAATATATATATAAGAGAGCAACACCACTCTCATTTTACATTAGAAGATGCCTGCACATTTTCCTCCATAACTTACTTTCTAGGAGAGCTGGAGCCTTTTTAAAATGAAAATTCCAGAGTTTGGGGCACCTGTCCAGGGGCTACTGGAAGCCCTCATGGGTGCCACAGCAGCTGTGGGCATCAAGTTGACGACCCATGCTTTATATGCCTCCTACAAACTGAGTTTGGAAAAGGGTCTCATCTTAATGCATAGGCAAGTTGGTAGGTGAGGCATTCCATCAGATATGAGGGCCTTCAGCCACTTCAAATTGCAGAGCATGGTTCAGATGATACCTGCATTCTTCCATACCAAACCATTCCCCACTCTCTACACACAGAAAATTAGTATGTCAGAGAAAAGGCTAGGATCCTTTCCCTTTGTGTGCTAATTTTTTGTGGCAAGGATTTTTTTAGTATGGGGAAGCATTCAATTGAGTGAGCACTTATTTAGAAAAAAAAAGATGGTAGGTGGGGACATGACAGAGGTTTATAAAATTTTGCACATTGGGAGCAAATGGATAGAGAACACTCTTGTCTTCCCCCATAATAATAAAATATCTCCAGGCCACCCAGTGAAACTGATAGGCAGTAGATTCAGGAGACAAAAGTAATTACTTCTTCCCACAGCACTTAATTAACTTGTGAAATTCAGTGTTACAAGATGAGGCGATGGCCACTTGCTCAGAGAGCTTTAAAAGATAATTAGACCAATTAATGGAAAGCTAGGTCTATCAAGGAACATTAGTAATGATAGCTCTGTGGGACCAGGTAAGCAACAGGGGAAGGCGATTGCCCTGCTTCTGAGCTGCTGGGGGCAAACAGGATGCTGGACTTCACGAGCCTGCACTCAGTAATTAGAAGTGGAATTGTCCAGAAATCAGCACCTGGCATTCTTTTTTTTTTTTTTGAATTAAATTTTTATTGAAGTTTTAACAAACACCATAACAAAAAAAGAAAAAAAGAGAGAAAAAAAAGCAAAAAGGCATAACATACAAATACAAAATATAAAACACGTATAACCTCAATTTTTACTTTCTTTAAGCTTACTTTCACGACTTCCTCATACCTTCCCTTTCTGTATTCTAATTTCAGATTCAATTTTCAGCAAATCCTTTCCCTACTTTTACAATAATTTTAGTAACAAATATTTTCTTCCAATTATCCTACTGCTTTTAACCCCTTAATAACCAATCCAACATTTTTCTAACCTTCATTAATTTTACAATATTTTTTTAGATACTCTTTAAACTTCTTCCAATCTTCCTGCGCCGTATCGCTTCCCTGGTCGCGGATTCTGCTCGTCATTTCTGCCAGTCCCATATAGTCTATCACCTTCAGTTGCCATTCTTCCACGGTGGGTAGTTCTTGCATCTTCCAGTACTTTGCGATGAGTATTCTTGCTGCTGTTGTAGCATACATAAAGAATGTTCTGTCTTTCTTTAGCACCGATTGGCCGACAATGCCCAGGAGAAAGGCCTCTGGTTTCTTAGGGAAAGTGTACCTGAGTACTTTTTTCAGTTCATTATAGATCATTTCCCAGAAGACCTTAATCTTTGGGCACGTCCACCAAAGGTGAAAGAATGTTCCTTCAATTTCTTTACATTTCCAACATTTATTATCGGGCAAGTGATAAATTTTTGCAAGCTTGACTGGGGTCATGTACCACCTGTATATCATTTTCATAATATTCTCTCTTAAGGCATTACACGCCGTAAATTTCATACCTG